GTTGCTCACCTCCTTGTTGACCATGTTTGACCATAGCGCCAACTCTGTTGCGCGTGATGCTGTGAGTTGACGTGAGAGATTGTGAAGCACGATGCTAAGCTTGCCCATCAGAGCTTGCAGCATCTACGCTTGAGCGGTTGACGTGTTTGCGTTCCGTTGCTCAGCTGGTGGAGGGGGTCCCAAACAGGTTTCTATGCCCCCGGGCCACCCATCGTCTAGTTGTCGCACTCACATGCGTGCGCCGCAGCCGGGGCAGAAGAAAGCGTGGGCAACCGTGCCGATCACACTCAGATGTTGGAGCCGGCTGGCCGCTTTGTGCTCGAGCCGGCCTTGTGTTGGGGGGGTCTCCCAGGCAAGAAGTTGCAGGAGCTACAAATGAGCTGCAAATCTAAATCAGAGGAAGAACAAGAAAATTGCCTCAGCTCTTTGGAAGCACTCAAAGTGCTGCAGCTACTCGGCTTGCTTGGGCAACCGCGTGCTTCCCGCTTGGGGAAGCATCGAGCTGTTCGCGTCCGTGGTGGAAGTCATAGCCCAGTTCGATGTTCGAATGGGCTCGACTCAGGTTGGCGGATGACAAGGCTATCTCCCAACTCTGCGCGCGCAAGGGCTTGGAGTGCAAGAAACCTTCGACGATGCTGAGGAAGGCGGGTCTAGTTGGATGAAATGTTTAAAGACCCAGCTGCTGGCCCCAGGAAGGGGAACACCAAAAGGAGGGTTGTTGAAATGGTGAGGTAATTTTTAGCAGGGCTGGCCTTCAAGGTGACACAGCCCGTAGCCGCCGTAACCCTGAGGCATGTTTCTGGTGCAAGAAGATCGACGCCAAGCAGAAATTGTTTCTGGTTTTGGTGGGGGCCTGCCTGCCTGCAATCCGTCCACCAAGGACTTTGACAAGATAGCGCAGTCTATGAAAATTTTGCTCACCGACGGCGGGGGCCATTTGGCAGAAGCCAGACCTCCAGCATGGCGTTTTTTTGGTTCCTTTAGATTAGAGGTGGAGGGCCAATTGTTTATGTAACATGTATGTGTTGCTTGTTTCTTTTTCTCTGCGCTAGATTTCTCGCGCTTGTTGTTTTCCAAGTGTTTTTTGTGGTTTTGGCTTTCCGCATCCTCGGTGTTTCTATTTGATTTGTTTCCTAACTGGGGGGCTGACCTGATGATGTAGTTATCACAACCTTACAACCACCGTAATTCAAAGAAGAAAAAATACAAACGTGCTAGCTGCTGAAGTACGTGTTTGTTCTTTTCTGGGCTCCTAACCGAATCCGTAGGCCAATGGAGTTTCGCAGCATATACCGGCTAGTCGCAGAAATTCTGAAGTGGCCAGAGAGCTCATCCGGAAAGGAAAAGCGACAGGTAGTCGTGGACCCGAGTAGAGTTAGATGTAGTGCAGTCATGGGGTGTCGATGCTGAGGAGGCAAGGGTTTCACTGGTCAAGATCGGCTTGAGGAAGGATGGGGACAGCTACAGAATGTTGCCTCGGTGCCAAGGTACGGAAGACCAAGCTAGTGAGACGAACCCATTCGGCACATGCATCGCGGATGCTGACTGTTGGGCACATGCCTTAGGTGATGGCATGCCGCGCAGCCACGCCCAAGTGAGGGAATAAGCGCCCCCCTACCGTCATACCCCAATCAATGTATGGTGCCAGCTCCCGGTCCACATCCATTATCCGGAAGGAGTTTCTCGAAGAGGTTTTGCTTGAAGTTTGTATCTGGGGGTTGCCAGATGCTGCCTGCAACTCATTGCCCGGACATATGCTTTGCTGCCTGTTCAGCTTTGCCGTCCAGACCTTCCTGATACACAATCTGGATTCTTGAAAGCAGGCTGCTTTTGGACGTTTGTGCAAACGGTGCCAGCTTTCGGCTCGCCTTTTGTCAAGTTGCGCATGTCCTGCTTTTGCTGCGGATAACTTGAGCACGCTCCCAACAAATCTCCGACTCCGACTCGAGTCGTTGAACTGCTCGCGCTCAGTTGGAGAACACTCGCTGCATGGGCGAAGACGAAGAGAGGTTCTGTGGCTGCAAGGCCTGGAGCTCCTGATTGTGTCCCTAGGAGGGAATCCCCCAATGCCCTCAAAACAGCAACCCGCATGTTTCATATTTTTGCGTTCTCATGTTGGCGTGGTGTTTGTCCAAGCTCGGCAGGAGAACACATGCTACGCCTTGGTCCAGAATCCCAAGAATCAGTCTGACAGGTTCGACTTAGTTCCGGCATGCGAGGCAAGGCTTCGCTGGTTTGACAATCTTGCCCAGCCCAGTGGATGTGAGAGGCACGCGATAATGATTGGAGAACAACGTCCACTCACATGAGGCGTCGCTTGATTGCAACTCCTTGGAACGAGTGGCATGGCAATATGCGGATTTATGTGGTGTCCTTTGGGCCGTTTGCCTGTCAAGTGAGGCAGTATCCTCACCTATCGTCACTCACTGGGCGAGCTGGCTGGGCAAATCGCTTCGCTGCCTTCAGCCTGATGCGAAAGGAAGTTCCCGAGCAACCGACAGGTTCCCCCCGCGCTTTCCATGGTTTTCAATAGCCTCGTCGACCTGCTGAAGCAATGGGTGACGGGCAAAAAGGAAGCAGCGTGCTGGCGCAGTGGAGTGGGAATTGGGGAAGGTCGCCAACACGATAAAGAAAATCCTGAGAATCATTCGACCCGAGGATTGATGACATCCGGGTGCTGGATGACAAATTGGTAGAGGACGAGGCTGCCAGCAGTCGAACTTGGCCGCTGAGATCTTTATCTTTTGCCGGTGGAGTGCACCCGCATCGCGTTGGACTCCCGCCTGAGGAACATGGTTCCATTGGTGCGCGGGACAAAGCAGAGCTCAGCTCGTGAAACCTGCGTAGACTCAGGTACAGTTGGCCACAAGTTTCCGCATGCTGCCGTGGCACTGGCCTGCAACTCAACCAGTTCCGTACCAAGCAAGGGAAAGAATATGGAGGAATGAATTGGAATGAGCCAAGCCCAGGCCTGCAACCTGGCCAAGGACACGTCCCTGGCTTTCACGCGCCTTGAACAACATTGGGCGTGCGCGTGCGGTTTTCCTCTTGGTACCCTTGTGAGCTTGGATTCAATGCAAATGCATTTCATGGACCGCGGCAATGGCACATGCAAGCTCCGTCGTTACTTCGTCAAGCTCAAGAGATCTTGCAAAGTTCGCCTCAAACATGGGCGCCGTTGGGGTCCCTTTCTCCTTCATTCTCGGAGTCCCGGATGTGAATGCCCAAGGTCCTTACATACTCTGCCTATAGCCTATAGGCCTTGGATGGTTTCGGGGTATGTATCCTGCGCTCTCCAATCTCGTGTGCCCTGGTGCAAGCAAGGAAGACCTGGAGAATAGCAAGTGACCATTTTTTGCATGGATGGTTGGCGTGTTAAGAAACTCCAGTTGATTAGTAGGGGAGTGTTCCATGTGAGAGGTGGCCTTGTTTAATCTGCAAGGTTGACTATTCCGGGGTTGACGTCATGCCATGCCTCGCGGTGACACTCAGGATCTGCGGGGCAGAACGAGCTGCGGCAACTCGTTCATTCATTTCGATATTTAGATGAGCCATCACAAGCGCTATTCGAAGCGCATGTGACGCCTCACAGGAAGTTCCCTGAGACGTTTGCGATCGCTCACTGGCAATTTCCTTGAAACAACCGGGCACAGGACGTCACGTTGCGTTCTCGATTGAGAAGGGGCCGAGGCAGATGATGGTGATGGCGATGCTGCGCGATCGCAATCTGTGAGCCTCCCATCAGCTTGTTGCAACTAGTTTTACACAACGCGCTTTATCTTCGTGCTAGTGCCGATGCCACTGGCACTGCTGCTTCTGCAGTTTCTCCGTTGCTTCAACTGCTCAGGCAGTTGCACGAGCGCTTCGCCAAGCCGGTTCCGGGCACTCACGTGGGCTGAGCTCGCACGACGGCGCAGAAAAACAAGATCTGCCCATGACGCAGTTTTTGCCTTGGTCTTCCAAGGGCCCTGAAACAAAGTCCTGGTCTTCCTGTTGGTTTGGTAAATGGAGAATCAACCAAGGCCTGAATGTGTTGGATGGGTCCTGGAAGGTCAAGCATTGCAGACGGTGATCCAGCCGCACGTTTAGCCTTGCATCTCTTGCCGGCCCAACACTAGGCATCATTAGGCAGGCTCAGGGCGCTGTGAAGCCATGGCAGACCAACTGCGCGGGCCTTAGACCTTGTGCTGTGCCGTTGACAGAATTGGGGACTGCGCCAGAATTCCATTCGCGGCATTTTCCTTGAGGAACATTAAGGAACTGTGAATTAAGGAATTCCTTTCAGTTGGCGATGCCTTCAGCGCAGGACGGAAGAGCAGATCGAGGAGTTGCGCGAAGCCTTCGATTTGTTTGCGGCTCGGGATGCGGTTCATGCGGATGGTGCTGCCCTGCTGGGCATCCAAGACGTGGGGGCCTGAGGCAGCAATTCAGCGAGTTTATAACTTTTATAACCAAAATAACGAGTCTTTGTTGCGTCTTTGTTGCGTCGAATTTCGACAGACCTGTGCAGGAAACGGTGGTGATCGCGCCCTTGACCTCTGTCGAAGTGCACCTGCAGGCAAGCAGCTTGAGTCAGACGCTCCGCGGAGTGTTGCAAAACGGCGCCTGGCGCTCTCTCATACGATGCACGCCTCCTGCGTTGTCCTTTGTTTCGGCGTTTTGCCAGATCCTGGATCTCGGGGTGCTCACCCGCTTCACTCAAAGCTTCATGAACCCGACAGAGGCCGCGGCGCATCGTGATCGTCATGGCGCAACAGTGTTTTTGTTTGTGTGTTTTGGGGTTGTTGACCGAAGATTCTGCGCAAGGCGCCACTGGAGGTGACGTATGTCTTTCCGTTATTGCCCAGCGCCTGCGTGACTCACCTCGAAGCGCAGCTCTCCGGAAGGTCGGTGGCGCCTTGGAGCCAACCTTGGCACTGCGAGAAGTTTTTTCATGTCAACATGTCTGGTCTACGGTGGGGCTCTCAAAGTTCCCATGTCCATGGCCGCGAGTGCGAGAGGTGGGCCACGTCCTCGAGAAGCAAGAAGCCAAGCGGACATTTGAGACAGCCACCAGGCAGAGCCAGGCCGCGAGATGCAAATGTCTGATCTGTGCTGGTTTCTCAGTTGATTTCTGTTGAACTCCTTTTGTCACTTTCTTTAAAGTTGCTCCCCCTTGGCTTCAATCGTCGGGGTTCTTTTGGATAGCCCGCTCAACCTCGCATCCTTCAATGTGCGCGAACAACACTTAGCGGAATGCGGCATGCCCTGTAGAGAGTGTCACGGGCAGCAACTTTAACGCCTCCGGCTCAGACCGCCGACATTACAGTCCTGCTAGTTCCAAGCAAAGACGAAGGCGATGTAGCAAGTGCATCAATTCAAGGTTTGGGTAATCATTGGATTAAGGAGTGCATTAAATCTAAACTAATTCCAATAATATGAAAGCAAAAAGGCAAAGAACATTATGTTACCACGAGGCATGCTTTGTTCAGTCGGGTCGCCATTAAATCATGCAACAATGATGCAGTAGGACAGAGTTGGGGCAAAGAAAGGCAAAACCAATATAGACTGGCGTGATTATTCATTCAGCATCGCCGCCCGGGCTGCCAGAACCCAGGCCGCAGTGCTACTAGAGAAGGCTGCTGGGGACCTCATGAGGCCATGGCATGCAATATGTGCATTGCATCAGGCTGAAGGAAGACGTTGTGGGAACTGCAATTGTTCAAAGTGTGCAACATCTCAGGCTGCGTTTGGGCCATGTTGGGCCAAAGGAGGCGGTGCTTGTCCAGCTGGAGATGACAATGGAACTGCAGAACCAGAGCAGCCGCTCAGCTTTGGGTCACAATTTGCTGATGTTATGTGCAGAGTGCAAGGGAAAGAAAAGGCCAACAATAGGGACGAAACCCATGCGTCATTCACAAGACGGGTTAGATTATTTGAGAAAGGGGTTCTGATGATTCTGATCGAAGTTCTGAGAGTTCTGTACTTTTAGAGCGGTTGGTTTTACAGATGAGCGAAAAGGGTATTCATCGGGTACTCGGTACGACTGTCGTAGTACGACCTGGGTGCAGCCCTGCAACTTTGGGTTTTGTCTCTCACACGTCTCATACGTCACGCTAAGATGGCCAACTCCGCCTGGCCTTGCCGACCATTGTGCGCCCACGGTACGTGTTGGGGCCCGTGGGTCCAGCAGCAATGGAAGCACCTTGGATTCGGTTTTCCGTGTTGATTGCCTTTAAACCAGCCTGAAAAGGCTACCAGCTCCTAAAACACACCCACCTGGCCCTCTTTTAGCCTGCGGTGGTCAAGATCCTTTTGCCATTCACATTCGTTTGTCTTTCTCGTTTTTGGATCACCCACAAACCCTCACTTGAAGACTTGTAGAAGCTGGCACGTTTTTGAGGTGTTCGATTCCAGGCCCGGGTTCGTGATTCGATCGACCATGGCTCAGGAAGTCGCTGCCGCGGAGGAAGCCGCGCAAGGACCAGGCGCAGCGCCCTTCTCGCTTACCGCGCAGGCCCGGGTCCGAAAGGAGTGGACTTCCCTTGGAGGCTTGGACAATTCAATCGCTCTGTTGAGGGCAAGCCCAAAGATGCCAAAGGAGCTCGAAGCAATGGTTAAACCACGGATTCAACGAGTATCGCCCAACCCTGACAGATCAAGATGCCCAGCAGGTTGCTGAACGTGTCGAGCAATTGTGAGATGAGCGTGCGGTTGGACGATTGCGAGGCCCGTGGGTGAAGCGCATCATTTCAGTTCTGGTTTGCTGGCTTGCTGCTTCGCTTGGTGAGGCGTTTGCATCCCTGGCACTGCCAAGCGTGCCAACTGAGCTGGTTCTCTCTTTGGATATGGCCGAGCCATTTGCGTCCCGCTGCTGGCTGGGCAAGGAGCCTTGCAAATCAGATCAATGGGAAGGAACGAGAGTTGCAACAATCTGTCGGGACTCAGTAGTAGAAACAAAAGATGAGGACGCGGGAGCCGCGCAGCTTCAATGCAGACTACACGGCTTCTTTGAGTCCATATGGCGCAAAAACCCGCCGGCTCATAGCTGTATTTGTTCTAGAGACCAACTATATGGGCGTTAAGGTTGCGCAGCGGGAGTATGGAAATGCGACTGCTGCAATGATCTGGTTGCCCTGCAAACGTGGGAGTGCACGGATGCATTTGGAAGAGAGCCTGTGCGCTTCTCTGTTTGTTGGTGAGCGGGCATCCAATGGCATCCATGTTTCGCCATTCGCATGGCAGCGTCCCCCACCCAAAACCCCTTCCACTTCAAGACTCTCAAAGTGCGCGCCTGCCATCAGACTTCTTGGCTCGTTGTTTCACGTGGACGCATGCGCAGGACTCCGGTGTTTTCTATGCTGTGCTCTACCCGGAGGACTTGCATGTTGCCGCATCTTGTTTCATACGTGGCACGCGACGAGAGGAGAGATCCTTGCAGCACCTTTGGCCCGTGCACGATGAGAAGCCGAAGGCAGGGTTTTGGTCATGAGTCAGGAGAGATCACGAGCTTGGGCCCGTCTTGGCCTCGCAGGAATTCATTTTCTTGCTGGACCGCTCTGGTTCCATGCAGGTGCCTGGGGGCCTTCTGGGCAAAAATCATCACTGTCACGCGAGCTGCAACTAAACCGGAGCATCCCGGCACTATGCAGGGCCCTTCGATTGGTACAGCCCGGTCTGCCTTGCAGCTGTTTCTAAGGACGCTTGTGCTGCTTGAGTTGAAAGTTGGCCCCAAGTCAAGCTGCGGCTTTTGCCAGGAGTTTGCCTGTGGGATGTTGCTTCGACATTGTGGGCTTTGGTAGCACTTGGAGGCACGAGGAGTCAGCTTTTGGCTGCCAGATGTTCGGGAAAGGCCGATAATTTCTCATGGGTTCCTTTTCGCCATGGACCAGGTCTTTATTTGGTCGCAGCGTGGCCTATGATGCCGAGTCCCTTCAGCAGGCACAATCAGTCATGGATTGGTTGCATTTGTCCCTGTCAAGGGCTTTGTGCCCTATTGCCGCTTCACAACGAACTCCTCTCATTGCCGAGGCAACTGCGCACGTGAGCAAGGTGCAAGCAGACATGGGAGGACGGGCTCAAATCGTCGCTTCAACCTTCTTGCAAGGAATGTCTCCCTTAGAAGATGTTTCCTCTTTCAGGCAATCGCATCATTTTGCGATGCTGAGTGTGTCAACCGGGCGGCGAAGGCACTGAGCTTCTTCGGCCTTTGTCCGACCTTCGCGATCGGCATGCTGAGGGCTTTGACAGGCGGATCGTTCTGCCGCCTGGCTGTAAGAGTCAGTTTCGGCTTTTGGGTCTCCAGCGTGGAACCGATCATGGCGTTCCTTTGGTTCAACCAAACCCAAACACTTTGCTTGCCCTCAAAAAAAGCCCATTTGAAGACGGACGGCTAAAGTCACATCTCAGGCTGACAGATGGCCAGGTGACAAACACCCAAGCAGTGCTGGACCTGGCGGAGAACCTCCCACCCATCTACACGGCGGGATTTCTGAGCATGAGATCAGTTCTAAAGTGATTTCCAAGCATTGTTTATTCTGGGGCACGATTGTTTTTGGTGACACTGCCTATCGGAGCCCGGGTGCCTGCCGTGCAATGTGCACGAGCGACTTCACAATAGTTCCAGAGCACGGCAGCCGCCTGGCTGAGGAGCATCTGCTCCAAGCTTTGAGTGCGACGCTCCGGCGCAAGAATGGCTCCAGCAGAGCTTGCTGCGGCTGGTCTTGCAGCCTTCGTCCTCCACGGCAACGATAAATTCTGCGAACTCCTGGCCCGCCCAGGGCCTTCGAGCTTCTTTGTGGATCCCGGGGCTGACAGCCGCAGCAGTCGTGAAGCGGGTTGTTCCTGCCAAAGGATGGCAGCTTTCCGACTTTTTTTTGCTGAGGTGGCGCCCCGCGGTTTTCCCTTGTTTGGCACGCCTTTCAAATGCTCTTTGCTTTAGGCTGAGTGCCTAGGCAGGTCAAAACCGTTCTTCACGAAACTCTGATGGAGCCATCTAGGCAGCTCAAAAACAAATCACGCTGTCTTCACGCGCTTTGACCGTGCCACACCGGCGTTGCAAGGAATCCTTCTACTGCTTTGCACTGCTGCTGCTTGGGGACGGGTGGGCAAAAGGGAGACCAAAGCTAGAGCTCTGCCAGCGCAGGGCGAATCGCCTCTGCATCCCCACCCCCGCGTCATTCTGCTGCGAAATGCTACCGGTCTTCACTCGGTACCCCGGAGTAACTCCGCGATCGCACCAGATCCGCATTGAGCTTAAAATTGCCACAGCTCGCCGACAAATCCCCACGTAAGCCACACGAAGCTGCGATGACGCCCCGGTTTTTTAAGCGCCGCGCCACATTGTAAAGAGAAAGGACATACAAAAAGAAGAGAAAGAGAAATAACAGCAGTAAAGAAGCATTCTAGAGATGAATGAGGATTAGATAGTGAACGAAAAGACGTGTAAAGAGACACCTAAAGATCAGGAAAGAAGATAATAAATAATAAAAGACCAAAAGTAATAGAAATTAATAAAAGAAAGATAATTGCCCATCAAAGAAGCACTCAAGGTCAGGTATTAACCAATATGCGATTCCCAGATGAATTCTGCTATCATTGACGGTTAAAATATGAATGCAAATTAAAGATATAAAAATAGTAATAAAAAGATAAGATATAAATATAATAAAAATAACAACAAACAATAATAGAAAAAAGACAATAAGAAAGAGATATAAATAATAGATTATAAAGATGGATTAGGAATATAATAATTGGCTTTCATTAGGTTTAGAATTAATTACTTTTAGTTGAGGTTCTTATTTATGAGTCTTTCTGTCTCTTTTATCACTATCTATTTCCATCATATGATTTCCTGTTTAATTCTCGTTATTTATCTTCTCCAAATTATCTTGGTCTAATGCAATGGCTCGGTGAAACGAGGAAAGATGACGAGTGAAGACGAGGGAAATGGATAAATAATCTCATTTACAAATATCTTCTTCTTAGTTCCCAAGCCATTATATTAAAAAGCTTTTTTCATTTTTCATCTTTCTCTTTTCCTTTCCCATCTTCTCGGTTCATCAATTTGCGAGAGTTATAGATGGGAAAGAAATGGACCATGAGATACAGCTTCCGTGAAGACAGAGAGGAATAACCTGATCAAGAGACAGGAAAAACAAAGGAAATAGAATCCTATCTGTGATGGCTGTAACCCAAGTCCCTCCATGCCTCTCACCTGTGACTCGGTCTCTCCAGTCAATCACCTTTTGTCCCGGCCCCCATATGTAGCTCCTGAGTTGAACAGAATGTGTTTGTGTGCGTGCATAAACATCCAGACTCTTGCCCCTTGGAAAGGCACACCAAAAGCAGATTGCTAAAGGGTCTTCAATTCATTGTTTTAATTGGTGTCGCTTGCCTTTTGTTTTAAAGGACTTCCCAGTTTGGTTAGACGCAGGTGGGCCTGGGCGGCGGTGTGTCCCATGCCCTGGTGGAGGGCCTGGCGCAGAACAGTGGCGGTTCGGCGGAATTCGTGGTGCGCGCGGACGAGTTGCCATCGTTCCCAGACCGCACCGACGGCACCGATGGCACCGACTGTGCCCGCAAAAACGCAAAAACTGGTTTGGCGTCTCAAGGGCCCATGTCCACTTGGGGAAGAAAGTTTCCTCGTGGTTTCTCTTGCTTCCAAACAAGATTGCACAAGTCTTATTTTTGGGAGTCCTATTTGTTGGTTTGAAGAGTTGCATGGGCAGACTACCACACTTCCCAGAAAAAAGAAAAAACAGGGAGCCCGCGCAAGTATCCCGTCCCTTTTGGGAGAGTGTTGCCTGTAGGTCACGCGCGTTTTTGAGGGTATTTGCTTATTGGAAACTACTGGGAAACCACTAGTTTAGGGGTTTCCTCTAAAGAACCAATGTGCAGTTTAAAGAGCGGTCAAGCCGCTGCCGAGGACAGTGATTCGGCAGCTGGGCCGAGCCATGCATGGCAGCCCACCGCGCCTCACACAGGCCCTCAGCCCGGGCTGTTCAAATCAACCCGCCAGTTTGCTAATTGTAATGGACAACAGTTTGTGGATTCTGGCCTTTTCCCCATATTGACCTCAGATTCCGCAGGTGGACTGGGCAGGGCAGCAGGTGCAACAGCTGTCTCCTAGCAGTCTGGTTCCACGGGGGAGAGGCTCGAACCCGTGGATTTGCGTGATTTGCTTGCGGCGGTGGTTCAACTCATGAAAACGCCCTTACGTGCCCTTTGATTTATGGGAATTCCAAAAGTCCAAACCTTGCGACGCGCCAGAAAATCTCAGCCTTGAGAGGTCCACGACAAGGCCAAAAGCGCCCCATGGGCTGCGCACGGGGGCGCGGAGTTTCCTGCCACGGCGAGCGGGTGGTGTTGGCGGCAGTGGTCCGCGAAGGCGGAACAGGAGAAAGAATCCGGCCTTTGAAGTGTAAAAAGGTAGAACGGGCTTGTCTCTTGGCGTGGCCGAAAGCAACACTGGTCTATTCCTGTCCCTCAAAACCAGCCCAAGAAACGATGCTCCGAAACAACAGAAACAGCGTGCAACATGAGATCACTCTATATCACTCTCAGGATGCGACGAACACTTACAGCTCTGCTTCCACAACTCGGAGGGGAATGCTGCTTCGGTGCAGCTGCCCGTGGAGCAGGTCGACCCGGCGCACGAGGCCGCCCTGCGCTGCATGGTGGCCAAGGCACGCGCGCCGCGCGTGTCGCGTCAATTGTGTTTGTGTGTGCGCATGTGTGAAAGAAAGAGAGGGTGACTAGAATATGTACATGGGGAGTCGGGTTTTGATTGCATAGTTTGTTTGAACAAGCGCCTGGGCTATTCTATTCTTACGGGAACCACAAGGAGTTTGTTCAAAAACAAGGGCTTAACCATAGCTTGAAGAGGGGTCGAATCCAACTCTGGCAATACCCTTTGCGATGTGATTTGAATGGGAAACGAAAGAGAACCCGCTCATTTAGGCGCCCCAATGCATACCATGCCGCATCTTCACATAAGACAGATGCGCTGCGTCTCAGTGTCTCAGGCCCTGATTGACGATGCGCGGAAGCTGCAAAATGAAGCAGGAGTGATCGAGCTAGGCCAGGATCACTCGGTGAGGTTTGACTTGCGCATCCTTGCCAAAAGCGACTGCCACATGTTCTTTTCTTGCAAGTCAGGGTCACCAAGGCACACTGACAATCTGATGTTGCTTCAATGTGGCAGATTGAAATGCGTTGTCCTGAGTCTGCTGACAATAATGCATGCGCACGGACCACAGCCCGGCAGAGGCTGAAGATCCTTGCCCCTCCCCCACCCGGGATGGCTGAATCTTGTGCAGTTGAAGGCTTCGGTGATGCAAAATGCAAAACTGGTCGAAGAAGACTCTAATGAGATGGAAGAATCAGCGAGACATGGAGGTTGGGAAATACCCTGGCTCCCAACGAACATGGTGCCTGACTGGCGGTCCCTTCAAGAAGAGTTTGATTTTTAGGTGCCTTTTCAGTTGGAGAAGCCCGGCACTTGCGGGGCACCTTTGATGTGCACTACATTGTGGTCTGCTGTCGGTGTGCTTTGGCAACTTTGGCATTCGCACTGATGCAGGCACCCGGTTTCAAGTCGTGACCAAGCTCACGTCTTTCATTGCAGTCGATGCTGAGCAACACCTGGAGCTTTGTCTGACATGCCTGTGTTCCACCAGCCTGCCAGCAAATATTCCAAAATCATGATCATGAATGCTTCAGGGAATTTGGAAGCCCATTGTAAAGGTTGCTAAGGAAGGGAGCCACGACCATTGCCCGAGGGAGTTTTGACCGGTGCGCGCATACCTCGCGTGAGGAACTGCCTTCAACTTCAACCATCTCGGCAAATTGCTGGAATCCAAGCAGCCCAGGCGGCCCAGGCAACACGACATGTCAGCAGCCTTGGCATCGTGAACTACTTTCTTTCCAACAATGGAAGTGAACTCTAAGCGAACAGGAGGGTTTTAGAAGCCCGTCCTTTTAACCCCCGGGTCCACTTCTATGGTCGGAAAAGGAGCGTGAGATGAATCGGCCCGCAGGAACGATTTCTGTCAAGAACCTCGGGTCTGTGATGCGGTCTTTGGGGCAAAACCCCACAGAAGCAGAGCTACAGGAGTTCGTTGGGGCTTCGCGTTCTGAGCATGAAGTGCCCTGTGGTGCTTTGCTATGTTAGCTTTGGTGCTGCTCCATGCAAAGCGCAACCCGCGCCGCCAATATTGAATGGCGCTCTGCGCGAAAGGACATGGTGAACGAAGTGGATGCAGATGGCAATGGAACCATTGACTTTGCCGACTTTCTTTGCTTGTCACTTGCCTTGCGAGTCACAATCAAAGGCCGGGGAACAGTTCCAAACCATCACTCAGGGTGGATATCAGTCCTTCTGAATTCTTGCTATGGGTTTTCGGGTTATGACGGTGACTCGTGTGGTGCGCCATTCCATGCGCTGCAGCTCAAGCTTGCTATCAAGGAACGCCCGCAAGATGAGGGATACCGACAGTGAGGATGGGCATGCTGCCAACGCATGTGGGTGTCTACAACTGTCTCCTCCTTTTTAATGGGCTTAAAGCCCAAGACATTCACAGAAATTTTGCAGAGGCAACCGGCCGCTTTTGTCCGCATTGCGACCTCGAGCAAATATTTAGGTTTGGTTGTGCTGAGCCAAGCCCCCCGTTTCGCTCGTGTTTTGGAGGAGGAGCTGATGGAGGCCTTCCGAGCCTTTGACGATGGGACTGGCTTTCTCTCGGTCCAAGATCTGCGGCACGTGATGTCCAACCTAGGCACGGGACGTCCGGGACGTCGGACGGGGACGTAGGTGCCCATTGGGCAAGGGGAGAAATCAGACCACACGGTTTGAGGCTCGGAGCGTCCCTCAAAAGGTGTCAAAGGTGTTCCATGTTGGGTGACATGTGAGCGCTGGCTTTGAGCCGGATCGGTTTTCACAGGCGAGGCACTGACTGACGCAGAGATGGAAGAAATGATCGCAGAGGCGGACATCGATATGGCACCGGAAGCGGCGAAAAAGGCCTGCACCGCCTTCGACCCTGCCAAGCAGAAGGCCTCCGAACCTGTGGCGACCGAAAAAGCATGGCACACTTCCATTTCAATGACCAAAGTCAACCAGAAAGGGACTACAAGCAAACCATTTTTTTGAAATCGCTACGCGATCCGCCGACGCCCTTTGCTGTCTGACAACTGCCGGGAATGTCCACGTTGAGGATCTCTCCTGTGCGAGCCTGCTGCCATCTTCGGACGTCTGGCCCAAAGTCAAGACTTGATGAGACCCAGAATTGAAACTTTGTGCTTATATTCCGTTTTGCCTTTTGGTTCTCGTTAAGACCACTCCCATAGGATCAGGTTGTCCCTTTGGTTTCCTTATGGCCTTCTTATGGTTTCAGTTTGGTTTCTTTGTGGCTTCCTATGTTTGTCTTATGGGTTGCATTTGGTTTTGTTGTTGGCTTTCTTCATCAGATCAGCCTCCAGTCTTTGCCGGCGCTGGATCTCAGTCTTCGGAGGCCTCGCGTTCCAAAAGCCAGCAGCCAGGTTCCGGCGAAGCTGAGTAAAAAACAAAGCCAAGCTGAGAAAAACATCCTAGACATACTAGCGCTTAGGGGTAAGTAGGCAGGCTGTGGGTTTCGGATTTACGTTGCTGACGCACAACTGGCTGCGGCAGCAGCGCGACGCCAAGCTTCATATCCGTTGGCTCTTGCTCCGTAAGTGTTTGCAGCCAAGCGGGCAGCCTTTGAGCAACGGCGACAACAGCAACAACGACAACGACAACGACAACCACAACAACAACAACAACAACAACAACAACAACAACAACAACAACAACAACAACAACAACTACAACAACTACAACTACAACTACAACTACAACTACAACTACAACTACAACTACAACTACAACTACAACTACAACAACTACAACTACAACTACAACTACAACTACAACTACAACTACAACTGCTACTGCTACTGCTACTGCTACTGCTACAACTACTACAACTACTACAACTACTACAACTACTACAACTACTACTACAACTACAACTACAACGACAACGACAACCACAACTACAACTACAACTACAACTGCTACTACTACTAGTACTACTACTACTACTACTACTACTGCTACTAGTACTACTAGTACTACTACTACTACTACTACTACTACTACTACTACTACTACTACTACTACTACTACTACCAACAACGCGCGGACGAGCTGTAAACACGCGGGGAAGCGCCCGCTGACCGTTCACGGGCGAGTGTGACGGGCTCAACGGTTAACTGGCTCGATGGGCCTAACAGGCTCCACGTGGTGGACGGGCTTTAACGGAAGATAAATCGTAGATAAATAGACACACAGATAGAACGATAGACAGATGGATCGATCGATGAGTGTTAGATAAAAGATAGATTGGGGAGATAAGTAGGTAGAAAGAAAGATAGAGATAGAGAAGTAGATGGATAGAAAGATAGATAGATGGGATTAGAATACGTTGGATAGGTAGATAGGTAGATGGAGAGAGACAGATAGATGAAATGGATATAGATGGGTAGAAGAGAGAGATGGACAGAAGGAAAGATGGGCACGTAGATGGACAGTTAGATGGTTAGGTAGAGAGATGGGCCGACACAGACATAGTGAGATGCGTGGATAAATTGATAGGAGGGATATGTAGATAGAAGGATAGACGCAGAGAGAGAGAGGGAGTGAGGTAGAGAGATAGATCGGTTAGATAGATCGATTAGATGACAAAGAGCAAACAAATAGACAAACATGTAGATAGATGGACTAGATTAGATTAGTCTAGGTCAGCACGCATTACATATGGCTTCCCGACTAGCTTTCAGTCTTACAAGACCATTTTGAGGGAAGAGCAAGTTGCGGATTGCCATTTACACGCTCAACTGGCGTCGGCGGATTTAGAGAACACCACGTGATGTTGAGAGGCTGCTTGAGCTTTGGTCCCAAAGGGGCTGTCCCAGCGAGGCCTGGCTCCAAGAGCTGGTGCTGCTGCAGGCGATGGGGTCGTTCGGCAACTCGTTTATCCTCCAAAGGCTTCCTCAGATTTGTTTGCCGGTTTATCGGTTTCTCATGTCTACAGGTGTGGATGCCAACATGTGTGCATTTGCGGGTTTGAACAAGTTTCGATGGCACTCAAGGTGTTTACTTGGCGATTGCGTTTGGTTGCCAGGTGGTTTTGGCGCGTGTGTAGTTGTAGCATTCAGCTTGATTGCGCCGCAGGATCATGCGCGTGTCCTGTCTTTGCTCGCTCTAGTTAAAAGCGTCCTGTGTATCTGTGCCGGTTTTGGATCCCGTCAGTAGATGTTTCCGAGGGTATCTTACAGGTGTTTTATTTCAGTGGCGCCATGCGCATTAGCCTGTGTAGGCTTGCGGGTTGGGTCAACCCCACGTGTTTCTGTTGATTTGGGTCAAAAGGGGCTGCGCAGGCCTTCGATGGCGCTTGGCACGATTCGCCGGCGCTGTGGAAGGTCCTGGCCCTCGAGCCCATGGAAGGCGATCGAACTCGATAGTCGGCGCTATAAAATTCTGTGTACGGCGCAAGCTGTCAGGAGGCCATCGCTGGGCGACAGCCCTGGCAGTGGCAGCCCTGAAGACCTTTGCGCCAGGCGTCCGGCCCATTACACAAGTGAGGAGAGAGACAGAGAACCCAATTAATCAAAGGATGCCTGCTTTGTCAAAGTACCAACCTGTCACAGGACTTGCGGCGGAGTGGGCTGCCTGGCAAGCAAGTGAGATCCACCTTGCCCAAATCCAAAGCTGCGCCAAGGAGTTCATCGCTGGGAAGGCCCAAGCTTGGCTTGTTCAGGAGGGCTGCAGTGATTTGCGCCTCAGCCAAGAGTTGAGCATCGGCTGAGGTGGAGGGCGCGCGTGACATATCGAGGTTACACATTTTGCTTCAGCTTTAGCTAAGGATCAAGGAGGCCATGGGATTTTTGCAGGACAGATCCCTGGACCTGAAAGGCCTGACAGCGAGCTCGCGTGCGTTTCCTTCCATGCAAAGCTTTGGCTGCACCTATTTCGCAGATGCGGCGAATCCCCCTCCGCCGAGTGGCAGAATTCGCAACTTGGCTCCTCACATGGCTTTCTTGGCAAGCTTTCCTGGCAAATGCTGAGGCTACGAAGAGTTTGTGAAGATGATGATGTCGAAGTAATGTGGAAAATTGTTTATTCCAGGCCAAGTTTTGGAGGTTGTCCCCTCACTTTGCTCCAATGTACAGTTGACTGGAGCGCGTAAGTGTGTGCAGGGCTTTCACTTGCACGCATATCACGGATCGCTTGCTTGCTTTGGGAAAAGATCATTGTGCCGGCGTTGCGGGTTTCTACATTGCGCTGAAGCCGACACACCGACACACCGATATCCCCCCCCTCGGTGGATATCGGCGCGCGCACCGATATCCACCCCCCCGTGCCCCTCCCCCACCTTCCGAGCAGGACGTCGGCGTGCAGCTGCATATCGGCGCGCCGACGCTCGCGCCGATATCCCCGCCCCCCCGAAAGAGAACATCGGCGCGCCGGCGGTTATTGGAGCGCGCGAATATTTTCCGCCAGAGAAGGACATCGGCGCGCCCGCCCCCCACCGGATCTCAGAGCGCCGGATATTGGCGCGCGCCCCCCAAGCAGGACATCAGCGCACAGCCCGCCCGGAGCAGGACATCGGCGTGCGGCCCCCTTGCAACAGAGCTTTTGTTTGGGGCGCCAAAAATATGTTGAAACTGAAAAACTATCAAGCCAAGTGTTGGAAGGCCCAGTGAGCAGTAAATCCAAAGACTGAAAATACTATGAACCAAATGTCGGGATGCCCAAGAGACAGCGCAAACATCAACATGGCAAAATGCGGTCGGCGCAGTGAACAGGAAGATTGAAACACTATGAAAAGAAATTTCGCAAGTGTTGGTTGCTAAAGAGGTTTAACAAAGATTTGGTGATAGAATGTATGGGGGCCACAGTTTGTGGGTGGTGAAGCAGTCTTGAAGAAATGCAGCTCAGGAAACTTCTGGACTCCACATGTCTGTGGCGTCAAAACGTTGCTCGCCACATATTTGACAAAACATGGTTTTTGGCAACCACAAGTTTTAACGAATGATCATATGTTGAACTTAATTAGGTTCAAGAACCTGCAAAAATATTGTACCCTGACTAAATTTTAAAACATTGTGTTTTCTCGATTTGCTGAAAACGTCGTGCTTTCAGAAAAACATCGTGTTCTCGATAAAAACCATGAAAAATTGGCTTCTGAGGCCTGACGTATGAGTACGTCTATTCAGAGAACAGGTGCCGCATGATATTAATTGCAAAAACAGAAAATAAGCAAACACAGACTCAAGAAAACACCGAGCCCCAAAACAAACCTACATTCAAAAAACAAATAACATCAAGACAGCACTCAGCCCCAAAACCTACATTCAGAAGAAAAACAAATACACATCAAGACATGACTCAGCCCCAAAGCATACATTCAAAAAAACACAAAAGAACAAAAAAAAACAAGAAAAGACTCAATCCCCAAACTTACATCCAACAAAACAAAGAGAACAAGATTCTACTTCTAGGTCAGATTCTAGGTCACAGGAGCCCCGAGAAGCAAAATCTGCACTGGTCATAGGCAGGCCAGGAAGGGATGCGAGGGCCATTTTGGCCGCAACCCCCGCCCATGCCCCAGCCAGCTCGTTTTTTGAGTCTGGCAGAATCTGGCAAACCCGGGCGTTCCAAGAGCTGTTTTTTGAGTCTGGCAAAGCTGGGTGTTCCAGAGTTGTTTTTTTGTTGTTTTTCCCGAAAGCATGGCGAAGGGTTCTTCCGCTGGGTTCACTTGAGTTGTTCTCATGAGAGTCATTACAAGGTGTCATTGCAAGGAATCATCATCATGAAAGTCAATGCAAGGAGTCATTGCAAGGAGTCATTGCAAGGAGTCATTGCAAGGAGCATTTTGCAGGCCACAATGTTTGACAACCGGACTTGGTGACTACCAAGTGTCACGGATATCGGCGCTCGCGCCGATATCCTTGCAGGGCGGCCGATATCCACTGGCGCCCTGAAAGGATATCGGCGCGCGCGGATATCGACATGCGCACCGATATACCTGCCGCGGCCCAGCAAGGATATGGGCGCGCGCGGACATCGGCGCGCGCACCGATATCTCAGCCAGGATATCGGCGTGCGCGGATATCGGCGCGCGCGCGCCGGGGCCCATGAATATCGGCGCGCGCGGATATCGGCGCACGCACCGATATCTACCGCGGCCCGGCAATATCGGCGCGCGCGGATATCGGGATATCTACCGCGGCCCAGCAACTATATATCGGCGGGCGCGGATATCGGCGCGCGCACCGATAGTCCAGCAAGGATATCGGCGCGCGCTGAAAGCGGCGCGCGCGTGCGCGCCGAAATCTACTGGGGCCCAGCAAGGATACCGGCGCGCGCGGATAGCGGCGCGCGCACCAAGACCTACCGCGGCCCAGCAAGGATATATCAGCGCGCGCAAATGTGTTCGCGCGCGCCGATATCTACCGCGGCCCAGCAAGGATATCGGCGTGCGGATATCGGCGTGCGGATATCGGCCCGCGCGGATATCGGCGCGCGGACCGATATGCACTGGGGCCCAGCAAAAATATCGGCGCGCGCGGATATCAGCATGCGCACAGATACCTACGACACCTACCGCCCAGCAAGGATATCGGCGCGCGAATATCGGCGCGCGCACTGATATCTCAGCGCGGATATCGGCGTGAGCGGATATCGCACCGATATCTACCGCGGCCCAGCAAGTATCGGCGCGCGCACCGATGTCCACTGGGGCGCAGCAATATCGGCGCGCGCAGATATCGGCGCGCGCACCGAGATCTGCCGCGGCCCAGCAAGGATATATCGGCGCGCACGGATATGCGCGCGCGCGCCGATATCTACCGCGGCCCAGCAAGAATATCGGCGCGCGCTGATATCGGCGCGCGCACCGATATCTACTGAGGGGCCATCAAGGATGTCGGAGCGCGGATATCGGTGTGCGCACCAAGATTGGCGCGCGCGCCGATTTCAACCGCGGCCCAGCAAGGATTGGCGCGCGCGGATATCGGCGCGCGCACCGATATCTACCGGGGCGCTGCCAGGATATTGGCGGCGCGGATGATACCAACTGCAGCCCAGCAACTATATCGGCACGCGCGGATGTCGGCGCGCGCACCGATATCTACCGCGGCCCTTAAGGATGTGGGCGCGCGGATAGCGCGCACCGATATCTACCGCGGCCCAGCGAGGATATCGGCGTGCGAGGATATCGGCATGCGCACCGCTATCTACTGTGGCCCAGCAAGGATATCAGCGCGGCACGGGTTTAAACCCGCCACGCCCCGACCCTGTCTGATGGCAACTACATATGAGATTTCGACATTCCGTAACGGAGTTGCGAAACGTCAGTGACATGTGAAAGCGTCTTTTCTGCGCAGCCTTCCCTCTATAGCTGATTGCAACCCTTCTTGATTCTGCGCTGATAAGCAGTCTGGTGAGACTACAGTTTGATACCCTGCTTGGCTAGTTGTGGGTGTTTGTCGGTGGCTCTACGCTCTGAAACATGGGTGATGTTCGACGAAAAATGCGCGAAAGCCCGAAAGTGCAGGCTTCGACTGCAAGGCAAAATGCTTTCTGAGCGCCGCGCCAGTCAGCGTACTAGCTTTGTACTGAAAAGTTGCGACTTTCAGCTGGTGCGTTTTGCGTAGTGGCTTGGTACTGAACAGAACAGTTGCGTGTTGCCAGCTGGGGCTGCGGAAGTGCAGTTCGGTACTTGTACTTAGGCGTTTCATTTCCGACCACTGTGCAAAGCTGGTGTGTTGTGATTTTGGGCTTACACCTCGGTTACCCCTATGCGACGATGCGACCTGCGCTGGGTCAGTGCCTCTACTCCCAAAAGGAGGAGGACGGCAGGCAAGGGGCCTGCAGTTGTGTTCAGAGCGCTTTGGCAGACTTGACTTTTGTCCGCCACTCAGTTGTGAGAGAGAGAGAGAGAACTTAAAGCTGCGACATTCTGAGTTTAGCAATGAAAAATGAAACTGCAAAAGATTCGCGAAAGTAATTTTTTCCGCGAAGAATGCCGTCTCGAGACAAAGCAGTTTAGAACAACCGCCATACACAGCAGGCGTGAGTCGGCTAGCCAGGCAATGCCTTGATCAAGCTAAGTGCTTCAACAAAAAAAAGCATGTTCTGTTGACGCAGCGCTTTGCAAGACTGACAAGCAGCCGGCCTTCTGCCCAATCAGAGCAAAAAAGTAGCAGTCGCAGACCTTCGTCAAGCGGCCTGAGATGCGTTCGCGAGGCTGGGGCGCAAGAGATACACGTGAGTTTGGCAAGAATGCTGTGTGTCCAGCGCATTTTTCTCTGAGGCCTTGGCGTTTCTATGTTGCTGGCTGGAGCAGCCTTTGTTGCTCCCAGGTTTGCTTGCAGTGCTTTCAGGATTCATCAACCCCCGGTTGAGTAACAGAGGGTTGTGCCACTTGAGCGAACACGTCATGTTTGATGGAAAACGTGGTTAATCCTCCAGGCCGATAAATCCGGGGTTTGCTTGGCAAGTTGTTAGCTTCTATCAAGAGGCGGGGGCCTCTTGGCGCATCGCAGGCCAGAGCTCCAAAGGAAATCATTGCATTCCCGCGCCTTGGCCAACCATCCCCAGAAAGCAAGCGCAGACGGCGCAAAAGCCAGCTCAGTGGATCCCGCCATTTCCCCAAAAAAGCGGCCCGCGGGGTGTTTTTGAAATCAGCTTTTTTTACACGTTGGCATAGATGGATGCACGTTTTCTCGTACCTGCGGTCTTTGGTTTTGGTGATGTTTGGAGAAGGCCCTCTCCCCCGCTTTCTGGCAGCTCAGAACAGTAGTCCCCTAATTAGTACTCTCCTAGTAATTATGTCCCTAGCATTACCGCAGTGTGCCTTTGGTATTTTCTTAGTATACCCCTAATATTCGCTCAGTATTCCCCCACTGTTCCCCAAGATGTTTCTTTGTAATTCCCTAGCATTCTCCTGGTAAATTGTGTTCCCATAGTAGTCCCCTATCATCCCCTTGGCATTCCCAGAAAGTTCCTGTAGTTCTCTCTTGACACACCCTCTAGTATCACCTCTGTGTTCCCCTAGTAGCTATTCCCAAGTATTTTTCCAGTACTCCCCCATTGTTTTCACCCTTTGTGCTTCCCTAGTACTCCCTTAATATACCCCTAGCATTCCCCTTATTATTTCCCTAGTATTCCCCTGGTACCCCGAAAAACAACGCATACGCCTAATCTTCTCTCAGTGTTCAAGTGTTCCCCAAATATTTACTTCAATATTCCCCTTATCAGCTTCATACTAATTCCCTAGCCTTTGTACTTTTGCTGGTATCCTGCATCTGCGCTCCAGTTTCTGAGTAGCAACGAACTAGGGAAACACCGACAGGATAATAATGGACTACCAGGCGAATAACAAGAGGAAATGCTAGGAGAATACCAGGGGAATACTGGGAAAGAATACTACAAATCAACCAAGAAAATACTAACGAATGCTGGGGTGACTGATGGAAAATTGGGAGAATCCTAGGGGTGTTCCAACAAAATACTAAGGACTACTAAGTCAATATCAGGGGAGTACTAGAAAGAACATATTCAAGGAACAATGATGAATTTTCATGGAATTCTCAGGGAATAGTAAGGAAATGCTATATAATGGAACGCTGAAAAAAACACGAAAGAAATACTCGGAAAACACTGGGGGACAATACGGGAAGTGCAAAAACCTCGAGAAACCAAAAAACACAAAACAAAACAAAAAAAATCCCTCGAACAATGCCTTGGAGGTACTGGTCAGTTCCCCCAGGGGATTGTTTTTTTTGTTTGTTTTGTGTTTTTTGTTTTTCAAGTTTTCGCAAGTTTTCTCAAGGTTTTTGTGTTTTTGTTGGTTTTCTCGAGGGCTGGGTCACATGTCCTTTTCCAGAGTACATGGGATTGGTGTACTGATTCGCGTTGCTCTGAGTTTTTCAGGTCTTTCACAAATGTAGGCCCCATGGCGGGCCCTTCTGTTCCCGAAGGGGTAGCAGAAGGGTCCCGTTACAGAAAGAGGTTTGGGGGTCAGCGTGTGGTTGCCGGCGGCGCTCACAAGCTTCGCAAGTGTTTGCAGGCGGTCGCCAGCATTGTCAGCTGGAAAAAGTTGCTGGATACATTCCTTGGTGGATGAGCAGGTTTGCTGAGTTTTGTTCGTCAGGTGTGTCCCTCTTGGGTTGGAAGGAGAAATCAAGTTGAGACATAGGAAGGTAGAGGGTAGTGAGATAGACACAGAGAGCGAGCGAGAGGATGATAGATAGGTGTGTAGGTAGGCAAAGAAAAAGCAGATGATAGATTTACAGGAGAGACAGGTAGACAGGTAGACAGGTTATATTAAACTAGATTAGACTTAGATGAATCTGTTGGATGGATAGATAGATCTCTCCTGACCTGATAAAACTTTTTCAAAGATTTTATTCATTATTTTTATGCTTTCGATAGATAGGCAGATAGCAAGACAGCAGGTGGTTGGGTAGATTAGATCAATAGATAATAGGTAGACAGATCAACAGACAGAGGGCATATGAATAACATTTTGTGGGGTTAGGTTGGGTAAGAATATGTAGACAGCTCGACAGATTAGGTCTGAATTGGGGGGGCAGATTGGTAGACAGCTAGGGGCAAGTAGATAGATAAACAGACAGGTGGAGTAGACTAGATTCGGTTAGATTACAGTGATAACTAGATATGTAGATTAGGGATAAATAGGATTACTTAGGTAGACAAACAAACACATAGACAGGCGGATGATAGATGTACTGACGGAACGTAGATGGACAGACAGACAGACAGATAGGTCAGGCCCGTGGCTCCTATCAAGCTGTTTAGTGTATAGGTTCTCGGCAGCAATCTTCAGCCCCACGAAGGAGAAAGCCGTGGTTCCCCTTTGCTACCTTTCGGGCCAAAGCCGTGCGAATTTTGCAAGGAGAAAGTATCGCCGCTCATGCTGCAGATCCTGAGCGGGATCAGCGCGACGAGGCGCCCAGCAACATTGAACAGCCCCTCAGACGCAGGTTGCGTTCTCACACGAGAATGAGCGGCCAACTGGGATTTCAGACGGGAGCACGTTGAGCGCAAGGACACGGGCACTTGTGGTGGTTGAACCATGGTGAATCACGAGCCCAATAGATGTGTCCTAGAAGCCGGTCCTGCCAGTCTGCTGTCTCATTCTCTGTTTTGAAGATTCAAAGAGTGCAGCGCCCCGCTGTCAGAATCCACATGTCAGAGGTAGCATCTGTCCTGTAACCCAGCATGATGCTGTCTTGGAGGGTAGGAAGGATTCGTCGGCAAGACCTTGCTTGTAGTTGGCGCGGCTGACAGTCAGCCGCAACACAACAGGCTTGCAGACTTCGTGCTTTTGGACACGTGCCAGAAGTAGACCTTTCGCGGGTGTGCCTTGTTGTTGGTTGTTTGGTTAATTAGCGTGTCTGTTTGGTTTTCATTCCCCAGATAGCTGAAAGCTATGGGGGTTCTAACTTCTAATAAAGAAGGGAAAGTGATTTGCGAGATTGAGGGCCGGGTGCTGGGGGGCATGCAGTTTGGGGTGCTGGCGGAGGTGCTGTTTTGCGAGCTTGATGGCCGGTTGTAGGGAGCATGCTTGGAGTGCTGGTGGATGCCGCTTTGCGAGATTGACGGGCCAAGTGCTAGGGGCATGCAGTTTGGGGCATTATTGGAGGTGCTGTTTTGCGAGCTTGACGGCCGGGAGCTAGGGGGCATGCAGTTTGGGGTGCTGGTGGAGGTGCCGCTTTGCGAGATTGACGGCCGGCTTTTTCGCGAGATTGACAGCCAAGTGCTAGGGGGCATGCAGTTTGCCTTGCTGATTAGGGGGGCGCCTGTGCTGTTTAAGGCGCTGATGGACAGCGGGGGGGCATTCAGCTTGGGCTGTTTGAGGTGCTACTGACGTTGGGTGCAATTTTCTGGAGATTGCCGGCGGGTGCCAGGGGGCATGCAGTTTGGGGTGGTGGTGCAGGTACTGTTTTGGGTTGCTGTTGGAGGTGCTGCTGAGCGCGTGGGCGTATTTCCCAGATAACTGGAAACCATTGGGGCTCTAACTTCTAACGAACGTGATCGACGGCTGGGAGCTAGGGGGCGGCGCAGGTGCGGTTTTGGGTGCTGTTCGGTTGAGGTGCTGGTGACAGGGCAGGGTGCTCGGGGACGCGTCCGCAACTGCCACGGGTGCTGCGTCGGGGTGCTGACGGTGCGGGCGCATGTGGATGGCAGGGTGCTAGGGCGGGCGCTGTTCGGGGTATCGTGGTTGTCGCATCAGCATGATGCTGGCCGCAGCATCATGATGCTGTTGAACCGATTCGGACGTTGTTGCTGCTGGCCAGCGCCCGCTGCCGCCTTGTTGTAGGTCGGGGGCCGTTGGGGGTCAGATGCTGCCTGTTTTCTCCGTCTCCTTGTGCGTGCCCGAGCCCGGGCTGCGCCTGAGGCTCTTCGCCCTGCCCTTCGAAGTGCTTATGTCCACCGGTGGGCCGGCTTGTTGTGCGCTGCAGCTTCCCTAGCCTTTGCTGACAGCCTCACTTCCTTGCCTTTCCCCGGCTTGCGCAGCCTTGATGGGCCTTGCCCGGACTTGAGCGACCTTCTCGCTGCATGCCCCGCTTCCCTTGAAGCTTTGCCGGCCCGGGCGTGTGAGGACGATGCCCTCGGAAAAAACTGTGAGGAAGCTGGCCTCCGCAAAAAAAACAGCTTGCAAAGTCCTAGTGCCCGGGACTCCCCTTAAGCATCCGTAGGCACCGCATGAGCAGACGCAAGGAAGTGCGCAGAAAAAAACGCTGCTCTGTCGTGTGTAATGGTTCGTGGCTGGTGTATCATCATGATGTTGTCAACCACGTCATGAAGCCGCTGCAATCGCTGCAATGCCACGTTATGGTTTGTGGGCGTGGTGGCGGGCATGATGCTGAATTTCATTACACTGTCGCAAGATGATGCGTGGCTGTGGTATGATCCGGATGCGGCCTTTACCGCCACCGTGATGCTGTGAGCATCATCATGATGCTGTCCGCATCATCATGATGCTGTCGAACTCATCAGGACGTCGTCTCTGCCTTTTCTGCTAGATATGTAGCGCGGAATCGTTCGTGTTGCTGATGAACTCACTAGGACATTGTTTGCGCGTCTATTTTGCGCACTATGCTGAGTAGCTGTGGTATCCTCATGATGCTGTCAACATCACCAAGATGCTGTCAACATCATCATGATGCCGCGGGAACCATTATGATGCTGCGTCATGGTTCGTAGCCGCGGTGTGCTATCTGGGGTCTATGCTGGTGTATTTTTTGCGTTGTGTCAATGTTGTCCTTTCTTGGAGGGAAACCAGCGCGCGTAAAGACCCTCCCTCTCTTGCCTCCTGGCGGTGCGCCCTGGAAACTCAGCCCAGGAAAGAGGCATTGCTCAACAGTTACGTCACTGCAGGTTGACACTTGGGACTTCACACGCGCGAGCGGGACAACGACAGAAGAAGTGATCGAGCGCAGCAGGGCAAACGTCCATCGTGTACGTTGACCGACGATAATAAGCAACGCGGCGGGGAGTTGGCCTCGGGGGGTTGATCTAATGTTAGGTTGCGAATAATAAATGGGGAGCCAATACACAAAAAAATCCCGAAATTATTCACACCCCTGAAAAGCAAAAGGGGGAGTTATTACACAAAAGTTTTTGTGAGGGGCAAAAAATCCGGAAAAATGTTCCCCAAAAAAAAGTTTGATAATTAATCCCTAGTTCAGTGCAACTCCTGTCTCTCTCTGCCCCGCCCGCCCCCCCAGACCTACCACCACCACCAACCTGACCACCACACACCACCAACCACCACTAGCAGTGAGGAAGAACATGTGTCCTGCACTGAGGAAAGCCTCCTTCTTAGCAGTTTTTGCTTCCTTGAACAAGTAGTACCTGAGGCATTTCTGAGGATCGCAGGCCAGGCACCCGCTCTGCCATCTGCACTTGGCACATTTGCCTGGTGCATTTTCCAGCTTCTTCACAGCTGAGACAGCTTCTGCACTGAGGTTCTTGTAGGTGAACTTCTCCGAGTTTTTGCTGAGCTGTTCCTGGGCTGTTAGGTACGCAAGTGAAGTGACTGAAATGAGCTTGTCCATCTTGTCTTGAGCTTTCTTTGCCTGAGCTGCAGCCTGCTCCTGAGCTTCTATTGCTTTCTGAGCCACCTTTTCAGCTTCTGAGTGTTTGGCTTCTTGTTCTTGCAGCAGCTTGGCAGTCAAGAACTTCAGCTTGGCTGTCCAAGACTTCCAGCTCACCTGAGGCCACTCAGTGATCCATTCTCCTCTGAGGCTCCTGATTTCTTTCTCCATCCACTGCACCACATAGAAACCGCAGGCATTGGAGCCAGCTGGCTGAGTGGCATGGTTGGACCGCTGAGGGAGCTGGAAGTCTGTGTCAAAGACACTCCCTAAGAGCTTCTGAAACTCATGGGAAGGCTGATGCTCCTTGCTGAGACTGTCGTACCTTCTCCATCTGAAGCCAGAAGTTTGCTCAGCATGGTCTCTCTGGGCTACCAGCAGAGTCCAATGGCCAGGTGCCCAGACTGGCACCAGTGTGGTGTGAAGGCATCCTGAGCAGCCTTCTTGTAGAGTGGCCACCACTCTTCTTGCTCAGGCTGGCTGAACCCAAGGACTGGGTCTACACAAGAGGCTCCTAAGTCTTCAGGTATTGGAAGGCTCTTCTTCTGGAACGCCCACCTTAGCATGCACCAGGCCAGCCAGACATGCTGGTCCTCCAGCTCATGGCCTTCCTCCTCAGGGCATTTCAGAACTTGAAAGTGGTACCATTCTTCAGGCCGAATGCCAAGCTGAGGCAGAGCTGCCAGGTAACTCAAGAAAAGCCTGAGATCTTCCTTGGAAAGTTGAGTCCACTTTGGCCACACCAATGGCTGTGTGCTAGGCTTGCTGCTTTTGAGCTGGAGCCACTGAGGCTTTGCTAAGACTATTCCTTTGTCAGTCATCACTTGGTACTGCTGAGACCCTTCGCTCCAGAACACTGCTTTGCCACTTTTACCATACCTTAGCTGCCCTGCTTCTTCTTAGGCGACGACAACCTCCTTGTTCAAGAGCTGGTAGTCTGCTGAGTCTTCCAAGGGCGGCTCTGCTGGAGGAGGAAGAGGTGGGTCTTCTGGGAGCTTTTATTTGCTCAGGGCTTTGTCAGCCAAGGACTTGACCTGACACTTCTTGGCAGCCTTTTTCTTAGCACTCACTTTGTTGGCCAACGACTTCTTTGCAAGCAGGCTTGGCTTGAAAGCTGAGGAAAGCTTCTTCTTTGCTGCTGCTTTGGCTCTGGCTTCTGGCACCACATCCTGAAGAGCTTCCTGCCTGCTGATAGAGAACAACTTCTCCCTGAGTCGAGCCAGTGTCTCCTTTCTCCTGAGCTGCCTGAGCAGGCCTCTTTTCCTCTTTGCTGCTGTCTTCTCCTTCTTCTTCTTTTGAGTGGCTTGGTAATCTGTTGATGCCAGCTCGTCTGAGAGATGGATGAAGCCTGAGGGACAAACTGTTTTGAAGCTCCAGCTCTAAGTCCTCTGCCAATTGGTCTGTGATCTCTAAGCCTGAGTCTGCTTCTGCATCCTCTTCACCTGCTGCAGGAGGGTGCCAGTAATCCCACTGCATCAAATCTGAGATCTGCTTGGCTGAGTCTGAAAGGCCCCAGTCAGGTGTGAGTGGGATTCTTTCTAGTTAAGTTATTTCAGGCGGTCCCTGAGCCAGTCTGCAGGATATCTCTTTGTGCCCAGCTCCAGAGGGTCAGCTCGTCCAGCTTGCCAGTCATTGGGTTGGGCCTCCAAACCAGCAAGCCGTTCCTGACAGCAGCTCTGAGGACCCACTCATCAAACAAGTTCTTTTCTTGAAGCTTCTGCTGGGCAAAGACTACTGAGGTCACAATCTGAAGAGGGCCCACACTCCAAACATCATCTGAGTCTTTGCTTTGCTCCTGCCATTCTGACCTGAGCTCTGAGAGCCTCCTCCTCACTAGAGCTTTGAATTGCATACTGAAGTCAGTATCAGTAATTTGCAATTTAGAGGTGCATTTCTCAGCCACTAAGCAGCTTACCTGCTGAGCAAGGGCCATGCTCTGAGCTGCTGACTCTGAGAACACGCTGCCAAAGCAGTCCCGCTGCCATAAGCTGCACGGGTATTCCTGAGCCTGCGCCTCAATGGCCCAGGTGAGGATGATGGCATCCACATTGCAGGCTGGCTGAGAGCTGAGACATCAACTCAAAAAAAGACTTTCTGAGCTTCCTGTATGATTCCAGAGCTCTGCCCACTGAGGCTCCCTGAGTGTGGACAATCTCCTTGTCTCCCACTTTGAAGGTCTCAGTCTGCAGCCAAGTCTCTGACTCAGAAATGTTACTGAGTCTAGCCCATTTGACCAGGGACTACTAGCAAGCCCTTTCCCACTTTGCCAATGACTGGCTCCTCAGGGCTGCCAAAGACATTGAACAGCAGCTGCCTGGCTTCGTAGGTTATCCTGAACCTTTCATCACCTGAGTGGCCTCTCAAGGTCCGGCTTCCTGCTGAGGGTACAGGGACTGCTGCTGCCGCCTCATCAAAGACTACCTGGGCTGATGGCTGAGGGCTGCTGACTGAAGGTGCTGAGGCTGCTTCTGTGCTTGCTTCCTCAAAACTTTGCTTCTTGACAAGCTTCTGCTCAGGGGTCCAAGCTACAGCTGAGCTTTGGGCTTTGCCTGCTGGAGAAGAAGCTGCTGAGCTTGCTGGCTCCTCAAAAGAAAGCTTTTTCACCACTAAGCTTCCTGGCGTGGCTGGGCTGCCACTGATGGCAGAGCTTCCTCTCTTGAGTGGTGTCACAAGCATCTCTGCTGGAGCTGAGTTGCAACCTGACTGCCATGGAATCCTGCTGAGCAGCACCTTGTGCCCCTGAGGGCAGGCTGCATAGGGCTCCTCAAGCCTCCTTTGGTAAGTGATGAGCCTGTCACCTGAGGATCCTGGAAAAAGATCCTGTTCGCACAACAGGCATGGCTGAGGCAGGCTGAGGAAGGCTGAAGCAGGCTGAGAAACCTTGAGGCTGAGCCAAAGCCTTGCATGACGAAGGTGAACCTTGCAAGAACAATGGGCCAACACTAAAGCCATTCCAAGCCAATTAACCTAAACCAAGACTAACCCAATTCTAAACAGCACTAAGCCAATAAACAGGAATCGATACTAGTACCAAACCAATTGTAAACATCACAAAGCCACTGAACAAGAACCAATACTAGTACTAAACCAATTCTAAACAGTACTAAGTCAGCACACAAGAATACTAAACCAATACTAAACCAATTCTAAGCAGTACTAAGTCAGCACACAAGAATACTAAACCAATACTAAACCAATTCTAAGCAGTACTAAGCCAGTCAGCAAGAATACTAAACCAATACTAAACCAATTCTAAGCAGTACCAAGCCAGTCAGCAAGAATACTAAACCAATACTAAACCAATTCTAAACAGTACTAAGCCAGTCAACCAGAATACTAAACCAATACTAAACCAATTCTAAGCAATATTTACTGGAACACTACTTAGGGAAGACCCGGTCTGACCCTCATTTTGTGTTAGGGTTTCCTCTATTGACCCCCCCATTTTGTTTGGGGGGGGGCCCTTTATTATTCACTCCCCAACATTACTCGCTTCCTCCGGGAGTTGCTCTGCTCCCGGTGGAGGAGGGTGGGCTCCGACTCCCCCATCCATTCGAGGAAGTGACTGGTAACCCCGGACAAAGAAAAGCCAGACAGATACCCAACACCATCATGAGCATGCCAGTCACAAATCTGCGCTCGCAATAGGAACCGAAGCAGCGGCTCCGCCCAAAACCATTTGGCGTCTTTTGGCGTTTTTATTTTGCGTAACCTGACTTCCACCGACAACAAACATCTAGCGACCCAAGTTTTTGCGTGACATCTTTGCTTGGCCTGGCAGTATCCTGTTTCAACCTGCGCATGAGACATCAAACTCAGGCGGGTCGACTCATTGTTTGGCATCTGGGCTGCAGCTTCGACCTGTCGGGTCAGCCAATGAGTTTGACTGATGCAGCGTGCGAGGTGCCGCGCGGGATTTGCTGGACTCTGAAGCCGGCCGCAGTGTGCAAAACCTTGTTGGGGAGGCGCTTGGCGAAGCCGGGTTTGTGAGTGTGAAAACCCAGGCCCCGTGCATCCATATGAGGTGTTGTTCATGGCGCTCAGGTGAGTGACAAGAGTGCGCGACTGACCTCTGGAGCCAAAACTACGATCCCTACTGGGCAGCGGGTTAGGGTCTTTGAAAGCCTACAGCCACCCACCTAATCCTGGAAGCGGCATTTGTTACCTTCAACGTTCCACCCCGCATGGAACAGAAGTGGTGCATCCTGGTTATCGTATTCAGGTGCTACGCTATACCATGTCCCCACCTACATGCATCAACCCCCGTCCCGACTGGATGTCAGCCGTAAGCGGCTCTGCAACATCTGGAATTGCAGCAATTACTCATCGACTACGCCGCACAATCGATATTTCCAAGGACACAAGCACAGCCACATGCAATCAAGAGTCAGCAGGAAGTTCGATCAGGCACATGGCTTTTCCGGCTATTGCAAACGCTCCTGATGGAAATGCGAGCGCGAGCTCTTTACAAAGTATGGATCGGTCGGTTGCATATTGGAAGCATGAAGGTCATGAGCGTTGGGAAAGCAACCCAGGAAAACAGAAGTCACCGAGATCACCATCTACAACAAGTGCAACAAAGAAGAGTGTGCGAGGAATGACACTCAAGATAGGTCAAAATCACCGCCTGTCAAGACGGGGCTCAAGAAGGAGACGCAAAGGGAGCTGGGGCTCCAGACGAGCCTCCTGGCGATGATAATGACGGGCGAAGAAGAAGATGAAGAAGATGAGGGAGGGAGGTGACGATCGCGCGAGGACAGAAAGGACGAGAATATCAAGGAAAGAGGCGGAGAAGGCAGCTGTACCATCCTGGCCCAAGGCCCAGCTTGAAAACTGGAAAATGACCTTGACCCTCCATGCGACATTCTACACAAGAAGGCGGCGGCAAACGAGACTATTGAGGAGAAACAGGCAAGCAAGGACGCTGTTGTCCACAACGAACTGGATCAACTGGCTGAGAATGATGACTATGTTCCGGATGATGTCAAGGATATTTCAGAGCTATGTCATGTGTCAGAAGGCCAAGCCAAGAACGGGATCATTTACCCGCGACGATGAAATGGTCAAGCTTGACAGGCGTGGTAGACCGTAGACGCGATGGATTCGTGGAAGCTGAAGGCAACCAGACCATCATGCGCTACACCAGAAAGCATGGGCGACGATTAGACATGCGGTTGATGCGGATGAGGAAGGCAACGTCATTCCAAAGAAGAAATTTGCAAAAGAAGCGTCAAGCTGAAAGCGCCGAATGGAACCAAGATTCGTGCGATGCTGAACGATCGGTGGGGGGGGTGACCACACGCGATCAAGAATCCTTGGGTGGGTACGTATAACATCGAACCCATGACTGGCGATGCTCATTTCTGGATGGGTTTCAAGAAAGTACAGAATCTGGGAAGGAATGCCGTCGGTTTGGGGAAGGAAGTTGAGAAGGCGGTCATCATCCACGCGCGGAGGTTTCGCCCCCAAAGTTACACCACGATGCGGCGCTGCGCGTCAGGTTCGAGGACGGCGATGGCAGGTTCGATTCTGAGTTTCCATTACATATGCAACCGTAAAAGTATGGCATTCCAAAACATTTGCATGGTATTACTTTTTATTGGTGTAAGGACAACATTGCAATGGCCATGTCCACCATGCATTTCGGTTGGCATGCGCCACTCTTCATGTCAGCTTGCGCGCGATGACAGTGGGTCTTCTTTGCATTGGTTTCAGTCCTCAATGACGCGTGCAGCCCGCGCAGAGGGCTTTCCAGCCTCACGTCAATAGATCGTTTGATCTGTTTCAGACCGGGTCCGCGCCCTTTCTCAGTGCAAAATAGAGCGGTGGTGCTTCAACAAAATAGCCATGACGAGCGACTGTTGGAGAATGAGTTGCAGCCAAAAGATGAACCTCAATGGGGGATGTGTGAAAATCCCCATATGCGCAATAATGTCCTGATGGCCATCCCTTCCGTCCACTATGAGCCTGACTCTATTCGTCGAGGCCATAAAAACAGGAGGTGAAAAGACCGGGTTACAGACCGCATGGCGGTGGCCGAGCATGAGGAGAGAACGGGGGTAGGAGAGAGCAACCGGAAAGGACACACCCCAACAACAAAGAAAAACAACAGCCCCAAACCAAAACACAAAAATAACCAGGGGGCAAGAACCACAAACCAAGGGATGCTGAAAGCTGTATTGCTCTGCTCCACTGCAAGGGTCAACGCAAATTCCAGCAAACGCAACGAGGCCGTACCGAAGTGCGGGGTGATGCTCACTGGCATCTGTGAACCAAGTCGATTGGTCCTGCTCATGGCGCATGGCGAAAAGGGGCTGCGGGGTGTGACTCAACCAACTTCGGAGGCAGCGGTACGGATTAAACCGTGGTGGTCCTCTGGCAAGCGTTGGAGGACCTTTCGCAACAATGTGGCATCGATGACACCAGCAAGTCCGATAACCTTCCGATGGGCTAGGAAAGTACCCTGCTCTCTGTGGAACCCGCGCGTGATGGCTTCTTCAATCAACCGCCATGGAGATGTTCGGAGCTCAAACGTGCCTTCTGGCGTGATGAGCCAGTGCCAAGGTCGACATCGCAGGCCTCTAGCGATTCGGCGAACAAACTGATAGGGCCATCAGTTGGGCGCACAAGCTGGGCCGTCCACAAGAGGGCAAGGTCAGGCACCTTCGGTTCTGGGCGTAGATCCAGAACTGCCTAATCCTCTGGCGATGTATGATGAATGCTGGGTGGGTGAGCTCATCATTGAGAACTGCAAGGGTAATGTATGGATTGGCTCCTGCATGCCCCTGCCCCAGCGCGTTCTTTGTGGCTGTGATGTACTTTCCCAGCCGGTTTTGACCAAGCCTGGAGATGGTCAGTCCCCACAAAGCACGTAGGTGTGCCGCGCGCCGAACAGGGCCAAGACGTGTCCGACATGGCCCCCCGCTTTCTGATGCGTTCAAGTGAAGCAGTGGCCTCTGCAAGGCGTTTTTGGACAGTGCTGTTTCGGGTGGCGAACGTGAAGCTGAAGTGCCCTCCTAGCTCCCTGACATCTCGGACATGCGAGGGTCGGCCCAAGCTGAATGTGAAATTGTCAAGGGTGCGGCGAATGGCAGGGTCAGTCGACCAAATGACACATTTGCTGGCATTGATGCGCAGGTCAAGCGCGCCGAGAAATTTTACTCCTAGTTCTAATCCGGGCACGAGTTGGCCAAGATCACTACAACTTAGGTTAAAGTTATCGGCAAAGCTATCAACCTGGAGTCTTGCCGAGCACCAGGCCCGATAGACACAAGAAAGCACGGTAATGGGACGGCAGTCCCCGGCCGATTCCGGGTTCGGGCAAAGGGAATCATTGCCACCGAAGCATGGAGGAGCTGGCTTGGGAATCCACATCCTGCCTGCCCGGCCTCGTTGAGAATGGAAAAGCAGGGGTTCAACGACACGTTTAGGCAATGCGAGCAACTCTTGACTGCGCCAGCCACAGAGGCCAGGGGCAGTAGTTTGCGTTCCGCTTTGCCAGGTCAGGCAAAACCATGTCAAGCGCAAGGTGCCAGTTTGACTCAGGAACGTTGCGGTGGCGGTTCCAAATGGATTCCCATGGCCGAATGCGACCCATTTGCTTTCATGCTGAATGGCAAGGTTTGCGGGACCCTAAGCGGCTTGATGGCCTGAAAAGAGAGTCCCAGTCCTGCTCAAGGAGTTGCTGACGCTCCGCTCACAGGTTATCTCGTTTTTGCTAAGCTCCTTAAAAGCTTCAAGCAACAAGGCTCTCTGTGTGGCATCAGGCTGCATCAGGATGTCGTGAAAGTCAACAAAACGAACCTGCTTACTCATCCACTGGGCAAAACCTATTCCGCAACCAGGCCAAGCACGGATTTTGCGGCCCAGGGCGATGAGCTGAACTCTTTCATCAAGGCTTAGGTCACGATGGGTGATGCTCAGCAGTATGTGCCAAGTGTGCAGTCGATGTTGGGCAATGAGGCGTTTATGCCACGCCAGTGCAACTATCTCGTCAATTGCCCCCAAACACTCTGGCCTCCGCGTCAAGGGTGTGAGAGGTTTGGGAACTGTGGTGACACGCGCTGCTTTGCGGGTTCCTCCGGCAAGGGGTGATGCATGATTGCTCGGCGGCTGCACTCCAAGCCGCAAAGTGGCTGTCACATGTGGCCTGAGTATCAATCGGAAGGGTGCATTCAAATTGCCACGGATGGATGTCGTCAGCCTGCCAGGTTGCATGGCATGGGCCACACCTGTGCTGTGATGCCAGGGCCTGGTAGCTTTATGATGCATTCCATAGGGGCATGCCCGGACAAGAGTCTGTACCCGAAGGTCTTCAACCATGGCCATGGCAGCTGGGTTGGCCCAAATCTGGTCGATGCGGGTCATTCCTGTGTACGTGGGAGTGGGTGGAGCGCGACCCCTGCGAGATCAAAGAAGAGCACAGTCAATCCATCCCCTGGATATCAGTTCATCCCCTATCGGCGTGTCATTGAGATCAAGATTGAACCAAGAAGATGGGTCTGGGGAACGCTTCCCATCCGACAAGTTGCTCATTTCTTGGTGATTTCGGCTTGACAGTTATACTCACTGACAGCAAGTTCGTAATAGGTGATAGATTTGGATGCTCGGCGCGACCTGGATCATGGTGTCCAAACTCCTATGGCTGTAGGCAATTTCACGAGAGCCCGGTGTTACCCAGACCGGAAATGAGCTGAGGACTCCAACCCCGGCACGCATGGGTGAAAGGCGTTGCGTCCCTCGTACGAGGGGCACCGGCGGTCCGAGAACTGTGTGAAAGCTGGCCTTGGAGGCCCTTGCGCTAATCGAGGCAATCTTGCCGTCCGTGTGTGCTGTTTCCTCCACGCAGTTGCATCCTGGACCCAGAGCAAGTATTTCATCGAGGTTGGCGTGGAGTGATGCGGGATTAATCAATCGTAGGCAACAGGTTGCCACACAGGCTGTGCATTTGCTGGTTGCGACGGATTTGTAAAACACGGTCCCAGGTCGAGCTTGCATCCTCTTTGGGAGGAACGGCGGGCACTTGTTGCCATTTGTGGCGGTGGCAAAAATACTGTCAGCTGGCAGGATGGAGAGACTCCTAAGGAGGCACACAACTTCACTACCTAAGGATAATGCTGGATTCCTGAGAATCGTTCCACTTCTACCCCATAACGGAGGCAGTGTGCTTTCCAAGAGGCTCACATCACAAAATGTCTGCCGGTATCTGACTACGGAAATAATGCAAAACTGAGCGTCGATGAATGCCACTGACGTGGGGGAGTCTCCACGTAGACCCCGCCCCTTGGCCACCATCAGGCCTCCGACTTGGTGATCCTCACCTTTGGCGTGGAGCTGCCTGCCGCTACAAGGTCCTGCAGCTGTTGGGATTGTTGTATCAGCTCTGGTTTGCTGAGCCTCGGGCTTGGCTGATTTCCTGCTGCTGGGCCTGGGCGGTGGTGACCTGGCCGACGATCTGTTCAACCTGGGCCCGTGCTGACCGGTGGCCCTGGCTCGTGCTGGATGCGTGGATTAGGATCTGTGCCTGTGGTCCGGTGATATGGGGTATCTTATTCACAGAAGGCGGATGAGTGGATCCTACACGGTAGGCATGACGCTTCAGCGGTTTAGCAACCCACTTGGTGGAGTCAAGCATTGCTATCGCCCGCACACGAGGTTACCCCACGGGACATGGCACATGCGACGGGCTCTGCGCGACAAGCGGCTCAAGTTATGTTTCCATGACTGGAGGAAGCACTCACGAAGGCAGCGTACCGTGGGATGTAGTTGAAAGCTTTTGTTATGTCAAGGGAAATTCCTATCATCGGGCCTGAGACGCCCTGTTGAGCGGCTTCAAGGTCCAAGGCAAGCTGGTACAAGAAATCTTCGAGATGTCTGCCTGCAATGAAACCCCGCATGGCCGCGGGCATTATCAAGTCGACCAACGGCCTGGTTGCCTGCTGGGTGGCCTTCTGCCATGGGTCGTGCTTCTGGAGCGGGTCAACACCTTGGCCGTTGGCCTGATAATAACCTGCGCGGGCTCGCTTGCAAGCCTTGCTCTCTTCAGGAGTGACGAGTCTGAATTGGGAGCCAGCGGCTTCACACATTATTCATTGGAGGCGTGTGGTGGGGAGCTTGAGGGCGGCTTCAAGGCGCTGTTGTGATACTGCTTGGATCAGTCCTGCTGAGCGCTCATCAACGAGCTGTCGGGGGATGCCCTTTGCTAGAAGCAAGTCGGTGAGAGTCTGCTGCAACTTGGTCCCAATTCCGGCCCCCCGAATGACTTCAGCCGTTGGCCTGCAGGAAGAGACTTGGGAGACACGGACCACACTGGCCTGCGCATTCCTGGATGTCACAAGCGTATTCAGCATTCAGTCGCAGGTGCGAGCTTTTGAGGAACGCGTTGATATCGTGTCCGAGCTTTTTCTGGCCGGCGTGCCAGACATCACATTCGCCCGAACTGGCAGCACCAATGGTCCTTTGCAACCGACGGCACCCCAGGCCTCAATCCACTCAATTCTGTGGCGGCCGGTCCAAAGCCAAGCACAGGTGGCACGCATTGCTGCGTGTGCTCAACAATCTCAACCTCATGAGAGCCAAGGCCAAGCGCCTGGATGGGCGTGCTGGGCAACAAGCTGCACCCATGCACCTGCTCTGAGCAGGGGCTGCACCAACCTAAATCGACAAGATTCTGTATAACGTGAGCGATGGATGTGGGCACTCTGCTTCGGCCTGAAATGCGAAGCTCGATCCAGGATTCGGTGGGTGGGCGGGCTGGGATGGTACTTGCACACAAAGCCGCGGCAACTGCTTCGGCAAGCATTTTTGCATGGATGGCTGCTGGTGCGTTTCCAAGCAAGGGCAGGGTGATCCGGACACGATGTTCCCAAGGTAGGGTTCCGTGCCTCCCAGTAGCCTGCCAAACCTCATCATGGTGAAGGAAGCGAAATACTCCCGGTTGGTCTGTGGCTACCAGATCCTGCAAGCACTTCTGTCGCAAGGATGTCGGGGAAAACCTCTTTGGCGGCAACCACAAGGGCATGCACGGAAATGATTGATGGCAGAGTGCAAGGGTCGCCTCAACTTGTCTCCACTTCGCACAAGATTGACACCGCAATCGGCGTATTGCAAGTAGAGTTGCTCATCTTCCCGCAGCAAGACATCCTGCCATGCCGACGGGCTAAACTCTTCCCGTGCTCGCGGCAAGTGGAGCTCAGAGAGTTGCGATGCGATCTTCGGATAAACGGGGAAGCGTTGGGGAACAACCGTTCCAACACTGCAAGCCAACGCGTGCCCGTGACCGGGTTGTGCTGCAAAGGGTGTGTGAGGTTTCAAGGATGTTGAGATGCAGCTCATCACATAGCCATTTGATGATGGCTTTGGTGCAAGTCGTGCCGCTACAGCACACTCAAGGCCAATGGTGGACACATGGAAGGGCTCCCGTTCGATGGCGAGTGAGACATCAAAGCCACGCTAGTGAACGGCGGCCCCAAATGTGCCATTGCCTGCAAATGCATCAAGGCCTGACGTGCCACAACCCAACCGTTGAGTTGCATCTACACACCACCCAAGGCTGGTCATGTCGAACAATCTGTCCTCCAATGATGGTGAGCTGCGGGCTGTCCGCGGGCATGCTGCCCGGCACACTGGCGACAACAAGGCCATGCGGGAAGGCCTCACCGACAATCCATCAACCAGTACCTGGGCATGGACCTGGATGCGGCATTCGACTACATCACGATCCCACGCGGGCAGGACAGCCTGGGAGGGGCCTGAAGCCACATCACTGGGTGTAATCAATCGCGAGGCGAAGGGGTCACAAATGGTGTCCGGCGCCTGCGGGCAACAAGGATCCATGCCAAACAGCCTGGATGATCTCCTTGATCTCACCACTCAGACCCTCCCACTGACTCCAGACGAAGGCGAGGCGAGGCCATAAGGCCGGAGAAGGTAAGCCAAACCAGGCGAAGGGTTGCCTGCTCGCCACACCACTGGGAGGCGCAGCTCAGCTACAGGGGACCTGAGAGCCAGTGGCTCCTGATGGCCATCCCTATCTGTACTACTTCGACCCCCAAACTCTGTGTTGAGGTGTTGGGTCATGGCGCTCGGCTCAAGGCAGCACACAACGCATATGTAAGTGAGCGACAAAGGTGCACGGTGTTGGTTCTACCCCACCCGGAGCGGCAGGGGTGCGTTGCACTGTTCACATGGCTCCAGTTCCGACAGTTTGTTTCCAAACAATCCCTTGTTTCTTGTTTCGCAATTTTTCCCGGAACTCGAACCGAAGATGAGCCCTATGCTTTGCTCGGGCTTCTCGCCAGGAGCGCCTTGAGAGCTTGAAGGCCGGGGTGGCAGCTACAGCTTCGGGAGCAACTGCTATGGTGCCAATCAGTGGCTTGGCCACTCCATGAAAGGGATCCTTGTGGGTGTCTGACGATTGGAAGTGTTCTTATTCGTTACTTGGCCACGTTCTCTTGGAGAACTGATTCATTTGTGTTCCCGTCATATCGTCATGCTAACCCGAAAAGCTACGTGCTTGTTTGTTTTAATCCAAACCAAAACAAAGGGGGCGCCAACTCAAGAATATGCTCCACAGAACTCGTGGGACCCGCCCCCCCCCCCTGACCCCCCCAACCACCGCCGCGCCCCCTTCCCCGTGCGTCAACCCTTGCGAAACCCTTGCAGACCTTGTTTCAGAGCCGCCCTGGCCGGGGCCCCATCTGGGCTGAGACCCTCATCGCTTTTGGCTGTCGCGGGGAAAGAATAGGCTTAAGATAGTAACACTCACGGAACCCTCGCAAAACCCCGGACTCAATTTGGGCTGAGACCATCGCTTTCAGCTGCCGTGGGGGAAAACAAGCTTTAAGATAGTATCGCTTTTGGCGGTTCGCTTCATGGTGTTTGACGCATTCCTGCCTACGTGCCACATCTTCGCGGGGGCTTCGAAAGGCAGGCCCAAGGCTCAACATGCTGCAGGACAAGCTTTACAAGCTCCAATGCTTTTCCGAGATCTCAAGGTCAGAGATTCACATCGGCGGGGGGGAGGGAGGTTGTGATCATTTTAGGGGGTTCGCAATTCAGCGTGTCACGCAGCGCGGCTTTTTTTTAAGATCGGCGGATCGACAATTCATGACAGCTCGCTAGCAATGGTTTTCTGCAATTTGTGGCCATCAAATCAAGCCTTCCACGTAGACTGTCTCCCACTATCGCGCACAACCCATCACCTCCAACACCTCCCACAGCTGCTTGAACCTTACACTGGGTCCCCAGAAATAACATTGCTGGAACACCGGAACTCAGGAACCTTCTTTGAACCTTACACCCGCCACCCCGGAACCTCCAGAACCTTTCTTGCACCCTGACCCTGCGCCAGACCGTTTGCTTGAACCTGAAGCTTGCTTGAGTTTCACTTGCCCGCCCCGGAACCTCCGGAACCTTCCTTGAATCGTACACCCTTCCTTGAACAGAGCTCCTGGGCTGAGACCTCTTAGCTTTCAGTTGGGTTTTGCGCTTGGCAGGGTGCTGATGCCCCCAGAGTAAGGTTTAATCGACCCGGACCGACTGACGCCGCGCTGGGAGTTCCAGCTGGATATGCTTGCGCTGGACATTTTCCTTTTTGGGGTTGTGTCACTTGCCTTCTACTCAGAGATCTCGGAGCGCGTTTGCGCGGCAAGCCGCGCCCTTGTTTTGGCGAGCATAGGTATCGATATGCTATCCGAGCTGGCGATGACAATCCCATGTTGAAAGCAGGCGGGAGCTGTGCAGCGCAAACGAGACGGACGGGGGCAGTATTTGTTGGCGTGTGTCAAGTTTAGTCAGGCAGGGAGTTCGACGGCGGCAAAACATACCCCCCGAAACATACCCAGCAACATACCCGAAAAACACCCCCGAAACATACCCCCCGCATTGTACTTGTTCTGTAGTTTTGTTCAAAACCTAATTTTCAAGGATTAGCGGTTTGCGGCTTGCGCCGTTGACGGAGTAGAAAATGCGGTTTGCGGATTGTGGAGTTTGGGTTTATGATGCTGCAGAAGAAAGCCCTGACCAACAACATGCCAGTTCCGCAACAACAGTTGCAGGCTCCGTGCAAGGGTAGACGAGTAAAAGAAGCCTACAAGGAACTTCCGTGGTATGGAACTCATTGAAACAATGTTCATCAATGTTCCTGCACAGTGTGTGGCTATGTTTGGGCTGAAAGCAGCGCACCATGCTTGCTGCCTTTTGGCTGCGACCCTCGTGGCGTAGCACGCGTAGTGAATTTGTCCCGACATGGACAAAGAGAAGTGTTCTTTGCATCGTGCTCTCAGGCAAGCTCGCCAACAACATGTTCGATTGATGGCGCTTCCCATGCTGAAGATCAGATAGCGCGCGCGGCTTCCGCTTGCGGACGCTTGCGGAAGCGGGTGGAAAAGATCTTTGTCTTTGCGTGCGCGGAAGGTTGCGGAAGCAGCCGAGTTCTGGTGCAACCCCCACTGCGGAAGGGGAGCTGCGCGCGGATGGTCTCTGGCAGGGCCAACGGGTGGTCATTCAAGTTTCGTAGTGGTTCAAATCCGAAACATACCTGGATCATGCCCGAATCATACCTGAAACATACCTCCTGACCACTGATGCCTCTTCCGGTGCCTTTTCTGCGCAAGGACAGACTCTAGCAGCAAGCGTGCAACAGTCTTGCCGGGCAAAGCGCTGGCCCACGCGCAGCACGCAGAAAAGTATTGGAAGACCAGACTGAACGTAGCGGCGCAGCAAATCAGGAATGGTCATCTTCCTGGGTTGCCCTCCTTTGTGGTGCTAACAGGGATCGAAAGGACAAGCCTTGGAATGGTTTTGTCAGCAATGCCATGTGCAAAGCGCCTGGTGTGTCCATCTACACCTTGTGCCTTGACATCCTCCATGTGCTGGACTTGGGCTTCAGCAGCCATTGCATTGGCAATGTTTGCTTTGGCTTTGTTTGCAAGGTTCCAGCTGCACAAAGGCAGCTTGCCCTGAAAAAACTTTGGGCCTACATACAAGAACACCAAGGAGAAGCAAACAACACCAATCCCAAGGCACTGAGTGTCACCTACCCTTGCCTGGCACACCTGAAGGCCCAGGACCCTTGGCGTCATCCTAAAGGGACTTTGCTTGCCACCAATTTTGCAAATCTCGTTTGGTGCCCGTGTTTTCCAAGCTCTGCTGATGGAAGCACTTACTTCTTGAAAAGGAAGGACCTCCTGGCACACTTGGACATGTACTACAACCATGTGTAGGACTCTGGCCTGGTTCCTGAGAAACAAGAAGCAGGGGCAGGTTTGCGTAACATGGAAGCTGCTTGGCAAACATACCAGTTCCTGGCTGCAAAAGCAGTGCAAGAAAAAGCATGCCAATGGTCACAATGGTTCCAAAATTGCATTGCTGCAAGGAGCTAGCCATTCAAGGCTTGACTCTGAACCCTCGCTATGTGTGGTGATGGAAGTGAAGATTTTGTTGGAAGGCTGTCTGAGCTTGGCTGCCGAGGGGGGGGGGTCAACTTGTGACATGCCATTTTTGCTGTCAGCGAAACTCGATTGCAGCTTGGCAAATCTGCCTAAAAGAAAAAAGTGCTTTTTGCCAGGAGAGGTTGTGATGTGGGGCTCGGGGGTGCAAAGTTGTGGCAATTGTAAAGGTTCCTGGCGAGGAAGGCATTTGCCGACAGCTTTCAGGTCGCGCAGGGGGTGGTGGGAAGGTGGGGCATGACTGCAAAGTCATGTTCTCTGGGGGTGGTGAGGGTGGGAAATGATTGCAAAGTCATGTTCTCTTGGGGTGGTGGGAGGGTGGGAAATGACTGCAAAGTCATACACCTGACTGCAAGTTCAGAAGGTTCCTAATTGCAAAGTCAAAAACAATTTAGGAAGGAAAACTTCAAAATAGCTAGTTTTTAGGGAAGCTCAAATATTAAAATGTTTGACAAGCCAACCTAGGAATTTTGACATTACACCACTTACCAATCCATGATGGGAAATACATGCGATGTTTCGGGCGGCGTACGCATCGTCACGCGGCAGCGACGAAATGTAGACCCCGCCTGTCGCCCGCAAAGAGTCTAAATTTTCCACGGCCGCGAAATGAATTTTGTTCGGGGCCCCGAACACAAACAGGGCTAACAAGAGAAAATCGGGCTCGCAGATTCTTTCTTTGCATGTCGGCAAGTAACCCAAGGGACCCAAGTGACCAAGTGGTAGTTGCCCGGGAGCAAGTGACTCGAGTGACCTAAGGGGCAGACATCAGTTTGCGTGCCCGGAACACTCGCCCGATAGATCATTGCCCACTTATTTCGGGCGCACAGAGGCCCGCTTCGGAAAGCGGGGTGTTCCTGTAGCAATGCCAAGGGGCTCATAGGATGACGAGCAAAGCTTGCTAGTGTCTAACTCGAATGTGAAGAGGCACGGACTGCCTCGTGAGCACGCAAACGAAGTTTGCTTCTTGTTGAGGCCTGTTGCTATCCTTTGTTGGCCCAACAGTTCGCGGGATCAACGCCGCGCATTGATTCTGGAAGCTGGTGTGGCTGCGGCGGCAGCTGATTTTTGGACTGAAGAGGATGCTTCGCTCAAGTCGCGCGTGGCTTCTCCGGGTTGTTGGTCTATTTGGGATTGCGCGCGAAAGCTTGGGTGTAGTTTTGAAGTAGTGTCAAGATTTGTCCTTGCAGCCCGAGAATCAGCATCCAAGGATTTAAACGGCTCTGCAGCCTCCAGTCAAGACTAGCAAACGGTGCCTGTGGGGCTTATGGCTAGACGCTGCGTGCAACAGGTGTGGCGGGCGCTTTTGCCCTTCCACGTGCCCTGTTCCTGGTGGAGTTGCCTACGAATTGCCAGGCCAGAGGCCCAGCCCTGCTGTTTGGTTGTGGTTTGCTTCAGGCCTTGCCTTTGAATTGCGGAGAGCCTCTGGGCTATTTCAGCTGGTCAATGATTTTCCAGGCGCGACTGCGAATTTGATCGGACAGCCTTTAGCTCAACGGAGGCTCTGTGGCAGTTATTTGTCGGCGTGACTGTACTCTTCTTTGCGCTCTACGGCTTGGAGCGAGCAATGGGCGTGAAGTTTGTACAAAGATTTTCGTCTCAAGGCTGAGAAGGGCTGCTGGCGCCAACTGCGTCAGTGAAACCATATGACCTGAAGCCCATCCGAGCTTGGGGGCCCAAAGATGCTCAGGCGCAGCAGCAAACATAAGATGCGGCGCGCGTCGGGAGCATCAAGTGTGGATATGGACAGGGCGTCATTGTCATTTTGCGGACAGAAGAACTCTTGCGGGCGGCAAAGACACAGAGTGACTCCTGTGCGCTCAACATGCAAACTGGAGTGTCAGCAAGCTTGTCAAGCTTGACGAGGCGTCTAGCAGGATTGATTGGCTTTGCACCAGCGCAGGTTGCTCTGCTCGATCTTCATTTTTGCTCGTCATCCTCTGGAGCCCTTGGCCATTGCTGTCAAGTCACAACCAACCTGCCAACCTGCCAACTTTCAACACTGCAAATTTGTCCAGTCTGGGTTTCCAATGAGGCCCAGCTGCAAGCTTCCAACTTTTGCGAAAGCAATTGCAAATCTGCCAAAGTTCCAACACTGCAAGCCTGGGTTGCAAAATATTGGCAAAGCTGCACAACTGTCAAAGCTCCAACACTGCAAGACTTTGCAAAACGCAACCCTCTGCAAGGGTTGCAGCACCAAAGCCCAGTTTCACTGCAAGACGAGTCAAGCCACTGCCAGACTGCCAACCTGCCAAAGTTTCACTGCAGGCTTCCAACACTGCCAACGCAGGAACTTTCAACACTGCAAGAATCTGCAAAAGGCTGCACAGGGCTCCAACTGCAGCGTTGCAAATCTGCAGCCCATGTTTCAACACTGCACTGCCCAAGGCAAGCATGGCAAGGTTGAACATTCTAGCTCTGCCAAAACTCCAACACTCGAACTCAGCCACTGCAAGACTTACCACTGCAGGGTGCAGGCTGCCAAGCAAAGCTCCAATACTGCAAGGCTTTGCAAATCCCCTACCAACCTGCCCATGTTTCAACACTGCACTGCCAAGCAAGCTGCCCAACTTCAATCTGGCAAGGCCCACTGCAAGTTTCCAACTTGTTGCCCAAGCGAGGCTGTCACTGGCAAGGTGCAAGCCTTGTTGCAAACCAGCTTGGCAGGACTGCACAACTGCAACCCACTTTGCAAGACTGCAACACTTGCGGACTGTTTCAAACTGCAGCTGCCAACAAAGCTCCTTTAACACGGCTGCAAAGGGTTGGTCTTGGTTGCAACAGATCTGGCAGGGCTACACTCCTCAAGCAGGCTGCCACCTGGTAAGGTTGCAAAATTGTAAATCTGCCAAGTTTGGTTGCAAAACACTGCAATTGCAAATTTGCAGCCCCTACCAACTGCCCATGTTTCGCTGCGCTGCTCAAGCAAGGCTGCCAAACTGCAGACATGGCAAGGTTGAAAAAACACTTGGGTGACTGCAACTGCAGCTCTAGCTCTACGCCCTCGCAGGGAGTGTGGAGCACGGCGCGCCTGGACTTCTCGGTGCCGCCGGGCGGAATCGCGAAGCTGCACTTCGGAGCCTTCGGCGGGTCCATCCCCGGGCTGGTGCAGCAGTCGGCGGGCACGCTGGACCTGTACAGAAGTTCCACACCGCAAGCCTTGGTTGCAAAACAGGCTTGGCGCAACTGCCAAAGCCCAACACTGCAAAACTGCAACCCACTTTGCAAGGGTTGCAGCACCAATCTGCAAAGATTCAACAGGTCTGGCAGTGGCAGAGCTAAAACTGCAGCTCTGTCTGCCAAAGCTCCAACACTGCAAGACTTGGAGACCCAACTTTGTCCAAGCAATTGCAAATCTGCCCCAGTTCCAAAACTGCTAGCCTGACTTGCAAAATATTGGCAATTGCAACACGAATGTGATTGTGTCTTTGTGTTTGTGTGTGTGTGTGTTTGTGTGTTTGTGTTTGTGTGTTTGTGTTTGTGTGTTTGTGTTTGTGTTTGTTTGTGTTTGTGTGTTTGTGTTTGTGTGATTGTGTTTGTGTGTGTTTGTGTTTGTGTGATTGTGTTTGTGTGTGTTTGTGTGTGTTTGTGTGTTTGTGTTTGTGTTTTTGTGTTTGTGTGTTTTTGTGCTTTTGTGTTTCTGTGTTTGTGTTTGTGTTTTTGTGTTTGTGTTTGTGTGTTTTCGTGGTTGTGTTTGTGTGTTTGTGTTTGTGTGTTTTTGTTTGCGTGTTTGTGTTTGTGTGTTTGTGTGTTTCTGTGTTTGTTTTTGTGTGTTTGTGTTTGTGTGTTTGTGTTTGTGTGTTTGTGTTTGTGTGTGTTTGTGTGTTTGTGTTTGTGTGTTTGTGTGTTTGTGTGTTTGTGTGTTTGTGTTTGTGTGTTTGTGTTTGTGTGTTTGTTTGTGTTTGCGTGTGTTTGTGTTTGTGTTTGTGGTTTGTGTTTGTGTGTTTTGTGTTTGTGTGTCTGTGTTTGTGTGTGTTTGTGTGTGTGTGTATGTCTGTGTTTGCGTGTGTTTGTGTGCGTGTGTTTGTGTGTTTGTGTTTGTGTCTTTGTGCTTGTGTGTTTGTGTTTGTGTGTGTGTGTGTTTGTGTTTGTGTGTGTTTGTGTTTGTGTGTTTGTGTTTGTGTGTCTGTGTTTGTGTCTGTGTGTTTGTGTTTGTGTGTGTTTGTGTTTGTTTGTGTTTGTGTTTGTGTGTGTGGTTGTGTGTTTGTGTGTGTTTGTTTGTGTTTGTGTGTTTGTGTGTTTGTGTTTGTTTGTGTGTGTTTGTGTGTGTTTGTTTGTGTTTTTGTGCTTTTGTGTTTCTGTGTTTGTGTTTGTGTTTTTGTGTTTGTGTTTGTGTTTTTTCGTGGTTGTGTTTGTGTGTTTGTGTTTGTGTGTTTTTGTTTGCGTTTTTGTGTTTGTGTGTTTCTGTGTTTCTGTGTTTGTTTTTGTGTGTTTGTGGTTTTGTCTTTTTGTGTTTCTGTGTTTTTGTGCTTTTGTGTTTCTGTGTTTGTGTTTGTGTGTTTGTGTTTGTGTGTTTGTGTGTGTTTGTGTTGTTGTGTTTGTTTGTGTTTTTGTGCTTTTGTGTTTCTGTGTTTGTGTTTGTGTTTTTGTGTTTGTGTTTGTGTGTTTTCGTGGTTGTGCTTGTGTGTTTGTGTTTGTGTGTTTTTGTTTGTGTTTTTGTGTTTGTGTGTTTGTGTGTTTGTGTGTTTGTTTTTTTGTGTTTGTGTTTTTTCTTTTTGTGTTTTTGTGTTTCTGTGTTTTTGTGCTTTTGTGTTTCTGTGTTTGTGTGTTTGTGTTTGTGTGATTGTGTTTGTGTGTTTGTGTTTGTGTGGTTGTGTTTGTGTTTGTGTGTTTGTGGTTGTGTGTTTGTGTTTGTGTTTGTGTGTTTGTGTGTTTGTGTTTGTGTGTTTGTGTTTGTGTTTGTATGTTTGTGTGTGTGTTTGTGTGTGTGTTTGTGTGTGTGTGTGTGTGTTTGTGTGTGTGTTTGCGTGTGTGTGTGTGTGTATTTGTGTGGGTGGTTCTTTGGTTTTTGGAGTTGTTGTTGGCTGCTGGTTGGTGAAGCCTAGGACGTTCCTGTCTTTGTTTTGTTTTCCTTGTTAGGGTTGTTGTTTGGTTTGTTTGAAATGTTTATGTTTTTTGGAATAAAAGCCCCCTTGGCATGAGTCCCTTCCTGGAGCCGGCCAGGAAGGGAGCCAAGGGGGAACAAAAACCGGTGGGTCCTGGGACAGGACCTTTTTTTTGAATAGGCATTGTTTTTGGCCTTGGGGCAAGGCTCTTGTTTAAATGCCCCCTTGGCATGAGTCTTTTCTTGGAGCCGGCTAGGAAGGGAGTTAAGGGGGAACAAAAATCGATGGATATTGGAATAGATGTTTTTAAAAATATTTAAAAGATTATGTTTTTATTTTCTTGTTTTGAATATATATATATATATATAATCCTGTATCAGGTTGGAAGGCTTGGGTTTACAGGCTTCATTCTGCAAGGAGAGTATTGGATCATACGGGGCCTTTTGGCTCAAGGATGATCCAAACTGGCTATTTTTGACTCTTGGTTTTTGCGTGTTCGGCAAGGGTTACTTGTCGAATGTTGGCAGTTCCAGGAGTTGACTTAGCCGTTCACACGGATCGTCCGCTCTTATCCACAGGCGCCTACCTCGACTTCAAGCGCCATGTGGACTCTCTGCTGCAGCAGGGGCATCACGGCCAGGCCCGGCTGCTTTGGCTTTCGGTGGTGGAAGTGTTGCATGCCCCGTTTGCGCAACAGCCCTCGCCTGTGGTCGAAAGTGGGGAGATACCCCACCTTCAATTTGCACCCTGTACTGATGCCCCTTGTGCCAGATGCGACGGGTCACTTGGCGGCTTCCCGTTCATTGCAACCTGGTGTCGCCGTGCAGTCTTGGTTCAAGAAGGAGCCACTGCTTCGGAGGCTTGGGCCGCCTATCATGGGTGCTATGAGGGGGATCGCCTGTCCGAGGCCATGGTGGCTGAGGCAGGCAGTGGCCTCCGTGCCCAGGACATCATCCCGATGTACGTGTCCGCCGTCGCTGGCCGGGTGGAGTCCGGCAACCTCCCCTTCGTATCCTTCATGGGGACCTGGTGGAGGTGGAGATGGACCGAGCCATGGCCCAGGGAGGGTGGCTCCCTGGCCAAAGCCACAGCGGGGAGGCTTCTCCGTGGGTGGCTGGACGATGGGAGGAGGAACCTCCCCATGGGCGGGTTTTGCGCCTATTGCGGCAACAGGGCTCAATCTGTTTGCGCATCATGTGGCATCAGCCAATGCGAAGCCTGCCCCATCCGTTGCTGCCAAGGCTCTACGCTGGGGGGTGCTGCTTCTAGCCATGGCGTTCCGAGGCGATGCAGCGCCTGGGCGATACGCCACCGAAGCCATGGAGCATTCCGGGAGCGACCCGGGAGGCTCTGGCGAAGGGCTGATGTCGCGTGTCCAGGAGGCGAACGTGAAGGCCTTTCGGCAGAAGAACGGTTTGATGCAGGACGCGGACTTCGGCTTCGCCTTTGAGGCCTTCGAGGATGCCGTTCGTGCGGGTGGCCATTTCGTCGCCGCCGAATGGGCGCGGGTGCGTGCAGAGCAGCAATCGCACCTTCTCCCAGCTGCAGCGGCCGTGGTGGAGGGGGATCCCCGGCGGGTGACGCCGGTGGGGCCCTCGACTCTCCGTCGCCCGGCGGTGCGGCTCCCCACAAGCAAAGTGGGCCTGAGACTGAGGCAGAACCCGGACAACGCCGAAGCGGTCGGCCGCAGGGTCAACTTGCTGACCGAGGCCTTCATGAAGTTGGGCGTCCTTCGGCCCCGGAGGCACG